CTGCACACACTAAATTTGGAAATGTTTCTTGACACTCTATTAATAACAGCAAAAGAGGAAAAGAAACTCTGCAGCCACTTAGAGGTACAAGATGGAACTTCGATTTCTGACCATAGGGCAGAGGTTGAAGTAAAATCTAATTGTATATGTAATAGATAATTGTTGATAATGTTGTTCATTAATGGGATGGGTTTGACTCAAAACATGCAGAGGAAATTTATCCTTGGCCAGAATTTCACATTCCCAGGTTTAGAATAGTTACTAATGTAACATTGATCAATATAACATTACCAGGGAAGAAAGAGAAATTTAAGTCAGGCTGGTACTTGTTCTCTGTCCTGCAGCACCGATATTGGTCATGTGAGGGTTTCCACTATTTATTCGTCAAAGTCTGTAATTGATGCTGTTTCTGTCATTCTGTTCATCTTATCTTCTTTTACCTTCTCTGTCTCTTATAGTAGTAAGAAGGAGAAGGGACAGAGGTCAGGTATGTCTAATCAGTAAAGGTGAGATGCAAGTTGTGGAGATGTCAAGAATTCAAAACTCAAGTCCAAAACGTGATTCCTTCTGTCTCTAGTCACTCCTAATTCTGTTTCCTTTCTGTTGTGAAGTGTCTTTTAAGGGTTTGCCTCAGTTTGCAGTGGCTGAAAACATGCTGCACGTCCTTTTCCCTGTCACAATAAATTCAAGGCAAAGTTGTTTCTGGATGCATATGACCAATATTGCTGAATGTAGTAAGGAGACATAATCAGTGGTTCTGCTCCCTGCTTTGTAAAAGAAGTTGTAGAAGGACTGAACTTCCTCTTCCAAGCTGACGCGAGTGTTGTAAAGCTTTCTGTGTGTAACAGTTCCTTTACCTTCTTGCAGGTGGTGGAAAAAAATGCGGACCCAGAAACGACTCTACTGACCTATCTACGAAGAAAGTGTATCCGATGTTAGAAGAAACTGCAGAAGGTTTTAAATGCCTGCAGCGTTTCATAATTGTTTACTGTTCTGCCTGTCGCTTGAGTGCTAGGCAGAACTTAAACACAGAGCATAAGAGGGAGTGCTCTACATGGGCTGGTACTATTTTTGGCTGGCAAAAATTACAGGAGGTATTCCAGACTAAAACATTAGTAAATTTTAAGTAATTTGCTTTAAAAAAACTTCAAATAATTTACTTCTACTTTAGAGAGAGATCTCTCAGAGTTGCTAGAAGTTAGCATAAGATGAATAGAAACCAATATAGATTGAACCATAAAATCGAAGGAAGTTTAGGTTTGTTCCACACAGATTGCAAAGGATTTTCTGACCAAAATATTACAGCCACTTGAGCAGCTTCTTGTGCCATCCAGTAATTTGGCTATTACTGAATAATATCCAATAATTTGATTATCTAATGCCCTAATTATCACAGGCAAGGTTGGGTGATCCAGGGGTGCAAAATCTGAGGCAGAGGTTCCCACCATGTACTATGGGCATGTGTACATGAATGGGTCCAAGAAGTTGTATGTTCATTTCACTGCTGTTTGAAGGTCGTCACACATAATCCAGCTTTGCTCCAGAAACTGGGTAATTATTACCCTGATATGACCATGCTGCCTGTTCTAGATCTGGTTCAGTAGGTAGTGTTCCATGTTTTCCAAGTTTTTGTCTGACCAGCTGTGAACAGACACCCACCAGACTGTTCACATCTGTGTTAGTGTATCCTTTAAAAAGAGTCATGCCTACTTATTTCACCTCCTCTGCTGTGTTCCAGCTATTGTCTGGGATCTGAAAGAAGTAGGATATAAATCATGCTCTTCTTTGGAGTTTCTGAGAACTATCGGCAGCCATATGTTATCTAACTGTACCTTGAGTGGACAAGGTTCAAGAGGGAAAATAAGTGATATGTCTCTTCTGCCTTTTTATGCACTTCTCACCAGTTGGCCTTATATGTCTAAGCTTGTTAATGTTGAGTGCAAATGTTTCATAAGAAGACAACCAGAGCTCTTTAAAGCCTTCTGCATGAATTTTCTGATGAATGTATTTTGTAGATGGCTAGGGTCAGACAAATACTTTGAGAAACATGTTTTATTGAGACAAATTAGCACTATTGTCAAGAGAAACCTTGGATGGCACAAGCAAGCTGTAGTAGATACAGGCCCATATGGAAACACTCAGTTTCAGAATGATTGCAGTGGAGGTAAAGATTATTTGAGTCGTCTGTATCATGAGTCCTGTTGCTTCTCCACAGGCCTGAATTGATAATCTCAGCACAGGTTTGTGTCCACTGCCGCTGAAAGCAGCTTTTCTTTCCCTGCAAAAAATCTCACTGCATTGGCCAACCCACTTCACGATAAATAACAGTGGTCTAGTTACTCTCTAATGAGAGAAGGAACATAAAGCAGAAGTGACCTGAGGAATTGTCTTCTGAAATCCCTTTGCAGAACATTTCATGTATTATCTGATTGGGAAATAGAGACAAGTGCTCAGTAACCTGTGGAGGAATCTGCTTAGGCCAGCCTGTACACTTTGTGGATTCCCAGAGATCTGTGCAGTGGTTCTGTGCCTGTTCACTACTTCTGGGTCTCAGTGTCTCCCTCCTGTGGTTTTATGGGACCCAAGCTACTGTGGAGTCCACCTGGCTGTTTTTGTCCCTAGGAGCCATTGCTCGGGAAGTCACCATAAACGGGGCCAAGAGATAAGCTGAAGTGGCCAGACCGTGACTACTGAGATTGCAGGTAGTTTGTGAGCAGTTCAAGTGCAGCTCCCATGTCAGTGCTGGTCAGTGTGACCTGCAGCATGGTGTGACTGCCCTGCCTGGGTGCCTTCCAGGTGGTAGGAATCACCAGGTACAGGAAGAAATCAACCACCTGTTGAGGGAAGCTGAAGTAGATGTCACCTTGTGTCTCAGGGATGTGGCTGCATGGCCGAGCAAGCTCTGGTCAGCAGTTACTGAGGGCTTTGTCTCCCTTACCGCGTTTCTTTTTCTCAGGAAAATGAGAAGTGTTGAAGTTCAGAAAATTTTAGCTTATTCTGAAGAGTCTATTGGAATATGGGCTTCCTCATTATTAGACTTTGAGGTGTTGATCTTATAGCTCACGTTCCACCATTTGAGACTTTGCTGATGTCAAATTAAGTTGTTAAACAAGAAAAATAAAAGTCCTTGGTTTCCATTGAGAACATTTAGGGAACAGATTGCTCAGCTTTCCAGACTGGTTGCTAAACTCTGACAACTATTTACTAAGCAGGCTTCTGCCAACGCGCCTCATGTTTTCCTTAACTCCTGTTCACTCAGTGGGCCTATGTGGAACCAAACTAGGCTGTGGAGAAGGTGGATGTGGTGCTTGCACTGTTATGATATCCAAGTACAATCCCTTTCGAAAGAAAATCCTGTATCCTTTGCAATTCAAACTCTTCTACAGAGAGTGAAATGAAATGGGGACATATCCAGGTTCTTGACATTCCAGACACAGTGCTGTTTAAAAAATGTTGTATAATATATGTTTCTGCCAAAACATCATTTATCATTTTCAGAACCTAACGTCACAAGGCTGAAACAAGAAAGTATTTTTTCCAACAGCGTTGCACAATGTTGATAGGGACTATTTCATCTTGCCCTGAAATATCTGCACTGACCCCAGCACATAGTCTGTCTGCATTTTCCAAGTCCAGAAAACCTTTATGTTCCTTTTTTTCAATGTAGTATAACTTTCTGCTGTGATGACCCAAATAATGATTAGTGTGATAATATCTTTATTGGTGTTGCATCCCTAGAATAATCTGACTTCTGCAAGTCAGCAGATATTTGCTATTTGTCTACTTCCATTGTTACCTTCAAAATGACTCTTTTTTTTTTTTTTCCTGAGATGTAAGATTTTTTCTATTCTCTGTTTAATTAATTGAGGAGTGAAGGAATGGAATCAAAGAGGGGAATGGAGAGGGAAGATGGGACAGAAGGATAGGACTGAGGTTATTTTTTCTGGGGGAACAGAAAAACACTCTGATCTTGAGATATGTTTGGAATAACACTTGGAGATACTTTAATTTGGGATCATCTGACTTCTTGATTCTGTTTAGCAACATGGCCTTGAATAGGATATCTTTAGGGTCATTCTTTCTGTCTGGATAGAAAAGAAATAAAATAGCTGGTTCGTATGAAAATATTGGCAGCATTATTCTATTTCACCATGTATACCATGCAGAAATGAGCAAGAGCTTCTTACTCTTACATAAGCGTTCTTTGTGAGTGGGTCAAGCTAGTTCTCTAACATCTTGGTATTTGTTGTCTGCCCCTTTAAACTGCTTACATGGGATCTGTAGCTTAACATGCAATGAAGATGTTTAAAGCTATTATTTCTAGGTCAGATCTTGTGGTGCATACTCAATTTAAACTTCAAGTGAAGTCAATGGGAGCTTTGGCTGGGTAGATGCTGTAGGATTTGACTGGTGAGCAATGTGTGCATCACATCTATTTAAGTGTTTTTGTAGCCACTGCTAGAGTCTCTGAGTACCCTCCTGCTCTCCTGGATACCTCTTTCCTTTGCTGAGCAGCACTGTCAACTGGAATGACCTTAATTGATTATTCTAGCCACTATACTGCCAATGCTTGCCTCTTCCCCATCTGTGCCCTGCATCATGTAGCTGTAACTACTGTTGAAGGCATAGGAAACACAAAATCCAGGTTGCACCCAGCCCAGGTAAGCTATTAATAATGGTAATTTAAAAAATATTCTTAAAATCCACTCTATCTTTTTATGTTAATTATTCCTGCTCTGGGGATCTCTGAGAGATCCATCATAATGTTAAAGCTGAGAATTTGACTTTCCACATGAGCAGACTGTACTTGTAGGAATGGGTCAGCAATGGAATCAAACTCCCACTTCAGTACAGCAACTCTGTTATGACCCAGCTAGTTAATGGACGCTATCCCAGCTGTATTGCTAATGCTTGCGTTCTCAGGCAGCACGGCTATGTTTGACCCAGGACCTGTATCAGGAACTAGAAAGACTAGTGCTGTTGTGAAACCCTACATGAGGACTGCAAGCCAGGAAATCCAAGTTAGTTTTTGACTCTGCTGTGGCCTTCCATGAATGACCTTGGTCTGTCCTCCTGCATAGTTAGGGTCCTTCCCTGGAATGGTTAAGTAAGATTTTGTTCAGCAGTGTTTCCGGAGACCCAGAACGTTTTTGATGGGAAGAAGTGACAGGAATATGAAGACTTGCTCGTCCAGCGAGGTATTATATTGCACTTCTTCTGGAAGACAAGTTATTTCAGCGTTGTCAGAGACACTGCTCTTTTAAAGGAAATTGATTCATCTCAGCATGTATTGTGGGTAGGACTTCTGCCAATTTCTATCTGAGAAAGTAAACAGCAAAGAGAAAGATAAGTTAGATATGCATGAATGGATGGCAGCTAGTTTGACCTTTATTTGCTTATCTTCTTTTCCCTACCTCCTCTGATGACTTTGACAGCTAAGCTTTGAAATTGAAACTCAGGTCTATGCAGATAGCTCCAAACTTCTAGTGTGGCAAATCCTTCTCTGGAGAAATCCCAGTCTCATTGGAGGCTTCTAGGCATCTTCAGTTACTTCGGGAGTTTGACGTCTCATGTAGATTTCTCAGTGTGTTCTCCTCTTGGAAGTATGCTTCAAAGACTAAGTGACCATCTCATCAGCGAATATCTAATCTCATCCTTCAGTGAGCCTGTCATTTTAACAGAGATGCTGCAGAAACACAAACAAGTAGACCCATGACCTCATCTTGATATTATGAGCTGATGGTTGTTGTTAATTTTCTTCCCAGGAGAGAATAGCAAAAAGTCATGGGTCCCAATGTGGCTTTTGCACTCCAGGTATTGTCATGTCCATGTATACATTGCTTCGGAACAAACCTGAGCCCAAAATGGAGGAGATAGAAGATGCTTTCCAAGGTAATGCCCACAGCCCTGCAGAGATGCAACCTGTGCTGCTTTCATTACGTCTACTTCAGAAGTGGGATGGAGGTGCACCTTTGTGTTTAATGTATTTCATTTAAGACAGCCGATTGTTAGAAGCTTAAGAACTAGTTTTTCCCCTAGGAAACTGGCCGGTTGGTATGAAGTGAACAAAAATGGCCCATGGAGAATTCCACAGAAGCTCATTGTTTGCGCTGCAGCAGTAGCGAGTGACTTCAGCCTTGGATTAGCACCCCACTGGGCTGAGCACAGAACAAAATGGTAGCCAGTCACTGCAGGGCGTATAGACTCCACATCTCCTTGTGGAGGGCAGTTCACCACTGGTACAAGAGCTTGCAGAGGTGACGGAACATCTAGGCCAGCTAACCTCAGGTGGAGGGGTGAGACAGCAGTACATGATGGAGCGGGGCAGAATCTGACTATGTAAAGCAGCTAAGAGGCTGCTGTTACAATTGAGGTTACAGCTGTTACCAGGCTTCTGGCAGTGACCTGAGAGGAAATCAGATGCAGGAAGAAAGTAATCTATTTGTAATTCAAGAGACTGCATAATTGGTATGCTGATTAGACTCACACGATTGAGGTAAATGAATAGGGCAGATTATTGAAATTTTAAATTGAAATCAACTTAGATAAATTGCAAAAAGGCATGGTGGGATTGTTGCAAAATTATTCATGAAATTTTCCTTCCGGTTTTTCAGTTAGCTTTATCCAGTTTTGATGAGTTATTGCGAGAAATGATAAAATGTTCTAAAAGAGGACACATTCTCAGCTAAATGACACTAAATATTTATTCTTTTGCTCTGGCAACGCAGGGAACTTGTGTCGTTGTACGGGATACAGACCCATTCTGGAGGGATACAGAACATTTGCCAAAGTAAGTGGCCTCAGATAATGTTTAAAGGCTCTGGAAGGCTGGATGGCTTTCTCTCTGTTGCTTAAATACACCACGAACCGAAGCGAGGAGGAAAAAAATATATATGCTACAACCCAGCTCCAACTCTTGATCCATTCATATGTGCTTCATGCATTGATAATGAAAGAAGATCAGCTCATTTACTCACTGTAGATGCTGGAAGTGGAGTGCTTTAATGAGATCCACCTGATAGTCCCTTTTTGGATCACAAGTAGCCAGACTCTTTGTAATTCTTTTCGACAAGTCTCTGAAAAACTCGACGTCTCTGCATGATACAGCTTGCAGATGACCTCTGATGTGGGAAGAGTGTAAAGGTGCAGTGCATGAATAGGAGCATATCGTGGGGAATCTGATCAGACAGTTGCTTTCTAGAAAGATGAGCTGAAATAGCACTGGAATGAAGTTGAAGTCACTGCTACATAGCTCTTGCTCAGCACTCAGCTACTGGTTTGGGTGGAGTGTGAAGCTTTGGTTTTCTCTAGCCCCTTTGTTTTTGAAAGACTGCTGCAGGCTGTGAAGGAAAGAAGATATTTCCAGATATTTCAGTGATTATTAGCCACCCATGGGACTACATTAGCATTAAGCATCAAAAGTAAAGAGAGAATTTTAGAATGCTGTCTGTTAATTTTATTTCGCTATCCAGAATTATGATCAAAAAAAGAAAATACAAGCAGGAGTGAGATCCATTACAATTGGTTGATAGATCCAGTCGATATAGTCTACTTGGATTTCCAGCAGGCTTTCAACACAGTGTCTCCCCAAAGGCTTTTAAAGGAAATAAGCAGCCATGGGTAAGAGGGAAGATCTCTGAATGGATGAAAGATTGGTTGAAAGGCAGGAAATGGCAAGTAGGAATAAATGGTGTGTTCTTGCAATGGAGGGAGGTCACTGATGGAGTTCTGCTGAGACCTGTGGCGGGAGCAGAGCTGTCTGAGATATCCCTATATGAGTTGGAAAAGAGAGTGAGCAGTGAGGTGGGAAAGTAAGTTCCCTGATGACACCAAGTTATTCTGAAGAGTGAAGACCCAATCAGATTATGAGGAATTTCAGAAGGACTTTATGAGAGACCTGAGAGACTGGAGAATAGAGCGGAAAACAAGGTTCAGGGAAAATAAGTGCAAAAAGATCCCCAGAGGGAAAGGTGGTCCTCATTTCACATGTAGAATGATGGACTTGAGCAGACTATTAGCATGCAGGAACAGGATCTTGGGGGTGTGGTACGCAGTTCCGTGGAAGCACTAGTTTCTCACTATGTTGTTGTCAAAACAACATTTCAAAGGGTAGAGAACAAAACAGAAAACACTGTTATGCTGCTGTCTAAATCATGGCTCTGCTATACCTTGGGTACTCTGTGCAGTTCTGGTCCTCTTATCTCTTAACAGGGTATAATGGAAATGAAAAAGGTTCAAAGAAGTGCAGTAAGGATCACAGCTATGGAAAACTGGCTTCCATACAAGAAACACTGAGTATGCTGGGACTCTTCAGCCTGGAAAAGAGATGAGGGAGGTGGGAGGTGTTCTACATAGCCCATATGGTAGTTGACAGAGGCTTCTGATAGAGGCCTACAAAATTATGATGGGCAGGAGAAAGATGAACAGATACCAGCTGTTTTCTGCCTCATCCAATGCAAGAACAAGGTGTCATGAAATTAAACTAGTTAGGTTCAAAACAAACAAAGGGAAATGGTCTTCCATGCATCAGGTAGCTGTCCTGCAGAACTCGCCAAAGGATGCTTTGGGCACCAAAAGCTTACACAGGGTCCAGGAGAGACTGTGCAAGTATCTGGAAAGACAGCTACTGAAGGTTATTAAACAGACATAAAACCACATTTGGTTAAGGTATTCCCCTGATCTGAATGCAATTGGAAGCTGGTAGAGTACTGTGTATTGTATTACATATGCTTGCCCCTCTTACTGTTCCCAGGGTATCTCCTTAGAGCTGCAGCTGGGCCAGAGCACTGACTCAAAGGTCTGGGCAGTTCTAAACCAAAACAAAGGGTCTATCTGTAAACTGGACGTGTCCTATCCAACAGGCTGCTGGAGACTGCCTTACGTAGGCAAAGGGAAATACCTATTTACTTCCATCTCCCATTTCTGTTTTGGAAATAATAAATGTGGGATCAATTTCTCTGACAAGGGGAATCAAATATGTTTCATTTTCTTGGAATGTGCACATTTTTCTCAGAAAAGTCTTTTTCCCCATAGGACTGGGGTTGCTGTGGGAGAGTAGCCAATGGCACTGGATGCTGTCGTAGTGAGGAGGAGAATAGCATGGTAAGCTGAATAAAGAAGTCATTTCACAATTGACTGATTTCAAAATTGACACTCCACAATTTTCAATATAATATTAATGTAATTTTGACATGTGAGTCATCTCTCTGTCTCTGCTGTAGTGCAGATATTCAGAGAGGTCTGCGCTGGTTTGAATGTCTGTGTCTTAGAAGACACTGCCATTAGATATATCCTGATTAGCATAACTAGTGATTGTGACGCAGCTTTTAGAATAATGAACTAAATACGTTCCTTCTGCATCTACAAGGTGCAACACTTCTGTAAAATTGCAGGCGGAAAACTGTAAGCAATGTGTTACCAGCTTTTGGGATATTGAAGCTATTCATTCTTCTGTGAAATGAAGATAACAGATCTCTAAGCCATTTTATTCTCCAATATGCTCTTTCCCAAACTTTGCAGTACAATGATGAATTAAGTAATTTAATCACCATTCCAATAAATTGTACAATCTGAACCTCTGGGAGAATCTGAAGGAAAAAAGTTCATTACGTTTTATGTACCAGTTGACGTGCAAAAAACACAGAGATGAGGAGAGAGAATTAGGGCATAAGGTAGTACGAATGTAAAATGAAATTAAGAAAGAGCGAATATAAAGGAATTTTTTGTTAGGAAATTTCAGTGAATTGTTGTGAATTCTTTGTTAGGAAAAATCCAGCGTTATATGGAATACTCCAGCAATTACAGTTGCTTGGAGTTCTTTCATCAAAATAGTTCATTAATTAGTTCATTAATGTTACTGAAAGTTTCTGTGATCCAGAGTTTGCTAAAGTATATCCTGTAGAAGCTGGAATTATCTGACTTTGTGCTGAATAGCTGAAGTGTGCTTGTTTCTTCTTCAGACTGGGGGTTGCTGTGAAGGAAAAGCCAACGGTCCAGGCTGCTGCATGAATGAAAAGGAAGACAACGTGGTAAAGGCCCCACTGAACTATTGCCTTTTCTTTATTGCAGCTGTTTTGGAGTCTTATCTGTCTCGTTTGCTTTGTGTCAAAGCCTGGTGCACTTAATTTAGTTGCATTTATGCAAAGGAGTTTGGACTAGCTTTGATGATCTTACCTCAGAAAAGGTATTTTTGGTGTCATTTAATACACCAGTTTGAAAGTGATGTCACTTCTGATTGGCAAACACCTGTGAGACTTGCATTTTTTTTTCAGAAAAATCTGACTGGAGAGCTTGAAATGCTGGCCAGGTGACATCTGTTCACTATATTTGCCATTCTGTGCTCCGTGAGATAGTAAGAGGCATTTGACTGGAAAAGAGGAAAGAGTTAGAGGTATACGTGGAAAGCTTACTTCTCTGCCTCCCAAATTCATGCATTTTCTTTTTCACAGACAATGATGTCCTCCAGCCTGTTCAATCCCTCGGAGTTCCAGCCCTTGGATCCTACACAGGAGCCAATCTTCCCACCAGAGTTAATGGTAAGCTCATTTAAAAGGAAATGGTATATGATTCATTGACTTCATCATTCTGCACAGGATTTGAGAGTCCCCACCTTCTCAGCCCTGAGGAAATGGCAGTGCAGATGATGGATGATGATAAAACAAGACACATGAGCATGAATGCTTCCATGTTTTATGAAAGGTCTTTGCCAGCTAGGGCGGCTTAGAGGATATGCAGGCCAAGTGCCTTTCCCAGCTGGCTGGCGGCCCTCTCTGTCTGTCACCACGTAACTTGTCACCACCTGCTCTAAGTTTGCCTTCTTTTCTGGCCACTGCCCGTCTGGGGGTGGAGCAGTTGCTCACACTTGGATTTCAGTTTACTAGGTCACATGTGAACCTATACAGTAAACACAACTGTGTCTGAGGTAATCACCCTGTCAAGGGAGAAAAGTAGAAACTCTGGGATGTAGTTGAAAATATGTTGGGAATAGATCACTCTGTAGAAGGACCAGCTTCTCTCCACTCAGTGTGAAAATAAAAGGTAAAAAAGAAGGTATCCAGCTCACACTGACATCAAAAGTTATATGAGATTAGTTTATCTCCCTGTTTCATTCCTGTCTTTGTGGGGCTAGCTTTCCTCCTTTCCTCTCTGCAGAAGAGCTCCATGGCAACAGAAGTGTCCCAGCTAGGAGTCTAGTCCAGCACGTGGCAAGTTTACAGTTTCCTTCACATTTAACAAACAATCAAAATTCAATTGTTAGTTCTGCTGTTGCACCCAGGTCAGCCCAGCACAAATATGTCACGAGCTACAGCTCTATTGGGGTCTTACAGAACGTTAACACAATAGATATGTATAGGGCCTCTGCTTCTTTTCTATGTTCTCCTGCATAAGGGTTGATCTGCTGTTGCTGGGAGGCGGCCATGTTAGTCTTTTGTCTTAGGTCATTGAGCAAAGGGAATTAGAAAGAGAACCAGAATCTGGCGTTACAGCTGTTAATTCAAATTCAGCAGTGCTAAAGACACTGTTGCAGTGAGATGAGAATGGAAAACCCATTATTTCTGAGGTATTTCTGAAGCCACCAGCACCTGCCAAAATTCATGGCAGATGGACCTTGCTAAAGGAGGTCTTGCTAAGGAGATGTGGCAGCAGAACGCACCTGACAGTGTCAGGAGGGAAAAGCCTTTTATTAGCATGAGAGTCTTATCAGTGCCAGATAAACAGTGGAGAATGACTGACTGCCAGCAACAGTGTGGCTGCACACAGGTGCCTGTTAGTAACCCAGCTGAGCAGGAGCAGACATGGGCAGCATGTATGCAGAGGGATTCTTAGCTTGATGTGGGGTCTGAACTCTGATTTCACTTTTGCAGACTCAGAGTAACAAACAGCAGAAGCAGCTTTGTTTCAAAGGCGAGCGTGTGATGTGGATCCAGCCTACAACTCTCAAGGAACTGGTGGCCCTCAAATCCCAGTACCCCAGTGCCAAGCTTGTTGTAGGGAACACAGAAGTGGGTAAGAGGAAGGGCTCTTGCTCGTTTTCGGTAGTTGGAAACTTCATGGAGTATTTCATGGGAACCGTGCAAGTTTAAACTTCCTCTATGCCATTGGTGTTAAACACCTGTCTACCCGGCATATGTAGGGATACATTTTCTCAGGTGGATTGATCTCACAGCAAATATTTTTCCTGATTCTTTGCTAAGTCAAACAAAAAAATGCTAATCCAGATCTCTTGAGATTGTGTGCTAGCTTTGTGGATTGTTGAGAAGAGGGACAGAAAAAACACTCTTTTGTCAGGGAGGGGAGTGGCACACCGTAAAATGTCCTGTGAAACTTGCATGTTGAAAGATTTTCAAGGAGTTGAGTACACTCTCAGGACTCAAAATCATACTGAATTTCTTCCAAAATACATATTTCTGCAAACAAAAGGTGTGATAAAGAGATTTAAGATATATGTAGTAATTCTGTTATCCTGAACAATTAATTCAGGGCACATCCCCCCAGTTTTGTTTGGTTCACAGTATTCATTCTTCTTTCCTGAAGCATTATGTACAGCTATAGCCATGTTACATGAGCACAAGTGTAGACAGAAGTTCCTAAAACTTCCTTTTGAGAATTCCAGCACTGGCAGAAAATAGCTTTTATTTTGGTGTCTCTATGACCTTACGTATTTTTTGTAACATATAGTTGGTGAACTGATTCTTTAACGGACCTGCTGCCATTTCATCGAGAAACAGTTAACTTAGGCTGTCGGTCACCTGTGTGTAACTGAAGGAATCTTACCTTTTCCTAAGGTATTGAGATGAGGTTAAAGAACATGTTGTATCCAGTGATAATAGCACCAGCATGGATCTCTGAAATGAATGCTGTTCAGCACACTGAAACAGGTGAGCGAGAAGGAGACTAAGTGCCTGTGAAATGACTGAGGACTCCAAGAAAATAATAAAGACAATGTACAGGAAAAGCCTGAGATTATATACCAGTTTCTATATCCATTAGTGCCTCTCCCATGCAGGGAATCAAGCTAGTGATATGTACACATAACTTGAGAATCAGAGAGGGTTTTTAGTGAAGATATATTAGACATTTACTTCACGTTGTTTAGTGTTTTATGTATAGTAACTGATTTAATAATGAGTGTAAATGGGCAATCTTTTTATTTAGAAAGGTTTTAAAATTAGTATAATTTAGGAAAAAGCACTGGATTCAACAGTCCAAGTAAAGTATTGCATTTATCTTTATGATGGGAGTAGGTCAAACGTAGAAATAATTAGGAGTAAAAGGAACAATGCAGTTCTTGGCTGGCACCTTCATGTGCAGCCTAGTGGCGTGTTTAAGATGGGAAAGTGGAGTGGGGTTTGGATTTCAGTTCTCAAAAGACCAGCTAACATCTACAGGAAGAGAATATCCTTTATATACACTGCGGCACAAGGGAGGGTGGGCAGATCATTCTCATGTGAGAGGCAGTACCACCATGAGCTGTGATTTAAAAGTGAATTTTGTTCTGGGTATGTGGTGTTTGCATGCAGCGCATACTGTTTTTTCTGCAAAATGAAATAGTATGACTGAATGTCTTCTCCAAACCCTGCTGTCCAGTTAAACTCAGTGGCATCTAGGCTTTGTTTGTAGACACAGTTATAGCTATGTCCTGCTGTACTTTGACATTTGGGAGAAGAAAAACAAGTCTTTTCATTTGTTTATTCATTTTTAGGGGTCAACTTTGGGGCTGCCTGTACCCTGAGTTCAATAGAGGAGGTGCTGAGAAAAGCAGTGGCAGAGCTTCCTCCTTACAAAACAGAGGTGTTCCAGGCCGTCCTTGAACAGCTGCGGTGGTTTGCAGGGCCACAGATCAGAAATGTTGCAGTAAGTGTCTCAGGAGCATCAGGGACTGGAATTGAAAGCTCATTCTGAGGAGCTGGCCTCCCTTATTCAATATTACGCCTTGTGCTCCTCATGCAACCTAGGCAAAGAATCTGGTACATCTAAAACATCCCCTGGAACAACATGAGTCTCAGCTGGTGTCTGTGCTACACTGATATCACAAATCCATCAAGGAAAACATGGCCATTGTCCATGTCTTCCACTGCTATTATTAGGATAAACGGAGGAAACTTTAAACCTCTGTTGAGAGGTCTGGTTGTGATTTAACAAAAATGAATTTAGAGTGCTGGACAAAACTTTGAGGAAGCAGATGTGTAGGCTTTTGCCAGCACAACTGCAGTAGTCAGAGGGTTAATGCATCAGTTCTAGCAAATTTTCAGAGGCCTGCTGATTTTCCACAAGCAATAAATTTCATTGTTTAAAAGTGAAACTCTCCTGGAAAAAAAAAAATCTTTTATAGGCGCGTATCTCAGAATTCAAATTCCATTGATGGTGTCCCTGCTAGTGCTTCTGGTGGAGATGGAACTTATGACACTGCTTCAAAGCATTTTGGTTCTGGTTTTGTTCCTGCTTCTTTTGTAGATAGAGGTTTTCATTTTCTACTGATAGGGAAAAGAAAGCTGTGAAAGGGGCTTTAGTAACATTAGGAGCTGCTTGAAACACACGGGCACTGCTTGGGTGCTTTGGGTGCTGAAAGCAGAGTTACAGTGTCTTTATTATGTCTGACACTCTATAGGTCACATTGCCTTGAAATTTGAAGGTCTATGTGAAGCAGTCAGAACAGTAACACTTCAGTGCAACGTCTGAGAGGAGTATCGCTGCAGAGACAATAAAAATTGAGGCTGTACAGCTTTTTAGTGTGGGGATGCTGCACCTATGCAAAAGCAGAGTTTCAATAGGGTGTGCAAAGAATATAAGTTCTAAGGCCTCTTCTTGGTATTTTCCATGCTGTCTGAAACTAGGGGACAGAGGAGATGGGTTCAGCCATTTCAAACTGCATATATTAAATTAAAAAAATGTATAGCAGGCAGAGGAGCCAACCTGCCGAACAAAGTATTTTGATCTACAAGATACTATCCTATACATTTGTACTGCAGCCAACAAGCTTGGGTTCCTGAATGTCATCGAAAAGATGCTCTGCACTTTAATGGTTCTTCCCTGAATTTCCGCTACTGTATTTGAATTTTGGCATGATAGGGCGTACGTGGTTTGAACATAAAGTGGTTTTGATGTGTTACCCAAAGACTATTTCTAAAACCGTTTCACTCTAATGTTGCTATTGGCTGGGACTGCAATTGATTCAGTGGGATTTGCATTTATTTTCCTACTGCATTAAAGGCCAAAAATTCCTGAGCGAGCAAAATAATTTATCAAACTAAACTCAAGGGTAGCTATACTCTAGTGCACTGTGCATGGAGTAATGTAGGAATACGGGGTGTCCTTGCTGTATCTTTCTGTTGTTGTTTAATGTTTATCTAATGCATATATTATTATGCTAGGCTCTCGGTGGGAACATAATGACAGCAAGCCCAATCTCTGACTTAAATCCTGTGTTAATGGCAAGTGGAAGCAAACTGACCCTGATATCAAATGGTAAGTTACTTACATTTCCTTGTGGCACTAAGGGAGGTGGGATAGTCATCAGTCCTCTCCTGTGCATTATTAGGTCAGGTCAGAACTTAAGGAAAGTGTGTGTTAACTTTAAAGAACATAGGCTTAGTCTGAGTCTTCCGGGGTTTGCCCTTTCTAAGGCTGAAGACTTAAGGTTAGACCTAAGATTCGTTCCCTAAAGACTTTTAATTTCTATAATAAAATGAATCTCTGGTACTGTGTTATGCACTCACAGACATATCCTTGTGAAGAGCTGGTTGAAGATGTCCATTCAAGAAAAACAAGCATATTATAGTCATTAGGTAGTTTCTGTCACTATCATACTTTGATTCTTGTGGATTTTTCAGATAAAGATTGATACTCGCCTATGAAGAAAGAAAGATGTCACAATTTGTATTTACTCGTTAGAAGAATTTTTTTCTGAAATAGGATCCTTTTGAGAACTAAGCAGACTCTTTGATCAGTGACTTTCTCTTGTAATGAGTTTGTGGTAGGCTAAGGAAAGGGGAAAGAGGGAACTACTTTGGGATGCTGGAAACTGATTCACCTGGAGGCTCAGCTTTAAGAAGGAGAAAGAACTTTGAGAGGTCTCTTTGATGATCAATTCCTGGGCAGATGAAACATCATATGTAGATAGAAGCTATCATAGATCCCATAAGAAGCTATCACAGATTCCATAAGGACCAAATTAAACTTGAGAAAATCCTTTCTGATTTGGTGAAACAGAACTGAAAAAAGAAAAATGATACCACATCAAGAATGACTTCTGTAGGCTGAAGGCTCTTTCACACGTGTTTTTGCCATTCTTCATCTGAGTTATTCATTCATCCACCACTGATCTCTCCTTGCTCTACAGAGGGCAAAAGGACTATCACAATGGATGAGAAGTTCTTCACTGGATACAGAAAGACAGTACTGAAACCTGAAGAAATACTTCTCTCTGTTGAGATACCCTACAGCAGGAAGGTAAGCTAGTGGGAATAGAGTTCAGTGTCAGTGGAGCTAAAATGGTGTTATGTGGGTGTTTAAATACATTAGGCACTTTTCCTTGAAGAATGACCTCCAAATACTTATGTAGCCCAAGTGGATCAGCAAGCACATAGATTATTTGGTGAAAATCTCTCTTTTTGATAAGCAAGGGGAGGTGGGCTCTACAGTAAAGTGCTACAAGCCCAAGAAGTTTTTTAGTGCAAGAAATAAGAAACCTCACTTCATTGTCTGCAGTTTTTTGAGAACGGTCAGTAATGATGAAATGTGACAATGCAATATTCCTAAAGGTCTAAGTTCTCTATTTGCAACATAGTGCAGCAAAGATGCTAGCAATTCCTGAAGTAAGTGAAGTAAGGTTGCTGAAGTTCCTGTTTGATTTCTGTGAACTGGAATGGGAAAAGAAATGTGAAAATAACTGGGAAAAAGTTTGTAGGGATAGGAAAGAAGTTCAGTTTCCATGTCCCTGTCTTGTTAGACTGAAACCACAAGGATTGATTATTCTGGCATTTTGGCAATGTGGACTTGCAACTTCAGCTGAGCCTATAAAACTTCCTTCACATAGATCAATGAACGTTTCTTTTCTGTAGCAGCATAAGCCACAAATGATTCAGTGTCAGAGGGTCAAACTCTCTTTTTCCCTTTAGGGCTGAGAACATCAGACTGTAATTTTATGCTAATGAAGATATTAAGAACCTTTTTAGAGCTTGAGGCCATTAGTTATAAGATGAAAGGATGCACAGTGTAGTTTTCCATTTATAAATGGAAAACATTGATTTTCCAGAAATGCTGTCATGTTATGGGAAATAACTAATAAATCCTTTGTCTGTCCTCTCTTTTTTTGGGTGTCTAAGTATTAAGAGAACCCAGGTATTTCATTTATTTTTCTGTCTGTTTCTCAGTGATTCTACTTTGAACTTGTGGTAATTGCAAAAAGCATCGGTCGTTGCCAAAATGAAAAACACGCTTGAGGGAGTTGATGGACAACACCATGTTCCTCCTTCCATATGACTATGAAGAAAAGCTCGTACTCTAGGCAAATTTCACAAAACAAATAAACTTTTACCATCAGGGCAGTGGCATTATCTGTAGGTTATATGCAGCTCATTGATCTGAAAAACTAAAATAACTTTTGAACTCTCTGCTTCATGGATTCTTGGTTAATCTTTGCTCATAAATGTGAAGCCAGGGTGACTAAAGTTCTTCAAGAGATGCCTGAAGGTACTGGGATGAGGCAGGCAAAGTCTTCTGTAACTGTGATTTCCTCACAGCTGGAAGCAGGGTTGTGTCAACACACAGCAGAATCTGATTTTTTGGTTTATGTTTGTTTAAAACTGGTATTGCCTCTTGCATTTATATGACTTGTTGCACAAGAGCAAGACTGGCCAAACAACATGAAGAATTAGACCAAAGAAATTTAGCAGTTTTCACTATTTAGTGTTACTAAAGTAGGGAGATAGTAGGGAGATTTAATTCATGGTGGGCTTTATCACATAGAGAGATTGTTAAGGGAGAGGAGGTAACAGCCTCTTCCCCCTGCTAGTCTGTGTGTCAGCTGCAGAAGGTGTTCAGGAAAAGGGTTTTTTAGTCTATGTTTGTAAGGGAGATGCAGCTGAGCAAAGACAGCGTTCAGAAAAGGAAAGAGCTCACTGGATTTAAGATACATATAAGCAGATCACAGAAGAGAAGATAATGCTTATCTTTTAGTGTATAAAATGGCATTCCTAGAACAGGACAATGCAATAGTCTCTGCTTAACAGCCCTCTTTCTCTTCTGGGCTTAAAAAAAATTTCATTCCAGATGAAATTAATAAATGTTGTCCGCCATCTGCATTATTGCTCACTTAATGACCATCAGCCCTTCATATCCTTTTCATTGTGTACATCTTCCTAAATCATGTTTGTCACGGTTGTTTAATCTTTTAAGATACCATTATTCATTATCATGTAGATCTTTACTGTTTTTTCAGTAGAAAAGACCTGGTAACACAATGGCTTTATATTTCTGTCTTAAGAAAACTGCCTTAAGCTTAAACTACTGTCTGCTCAGTGTTGTCATCACAGGTTCACAGTATCACAGTTTTTGTCCTGCTGGGGAGACAGGAAGAGGTGATCAAGTCTTACTTCATTCCTCAAGTTAGTATCCTCCAACCTTTAAATCATTATTGACCTCTCTTCCATAGTGGTGGACTGAATAAATTGACATGGAAACAATGCTTTTGCAATTGTAAATATTGCCTACAAATCTTTTGGAGCCTGTGGAGCTCTTAGTGTCCTCCTAGTTGATATTGCCTCCTCTCCAGGAGGAGAGGTGGGAGACTAATTTAGATTCATATGCAACCCTTAGCAGTTTGGGTTGCTTTTTTTTTTTTTCTCTGCTATGAAAGTGTGTTTTTCCTGTGAGATAGCTAATACCTAGAAGCTTTCACTGTAAAAGCCTGAAAGGGACATGCTCTGTTGTGTTACTGAGAGGCAGAGCAGACACGGGCAGCTGCTGTAGCGGTTGTCCTTACCTAGCTAGGAATGAGGAAGGAGAGCAGGTGTTTTGTCTCCCATAGGACTTTGCACCAAGATAACTTTGGTCTCTTGTGACAAATGAGAGCAAGTGTTGTCCTCTCATTACAATCACGTTTTTGGAAAGCTTCTCTGAAGTGTGCAGTAGGGGAAGAGGCTGCTTTTCTCCTCTTTGAAGGCTAATTGCTTTAGCAAGCAGAGTGGCAGAATGCCCTCATTGGGAGGATGCTACTGATGCTCCTTGGCTATTGTCTGTTGGCTGCCCACTAATTAGTTGAATTCAGGAAATGAAACACACGCTTCAGTTATATCTCCAGTAATGAGTTCTTGATGCACAAAATGGGCCTCTTGTGAAACTGCACTCATTGCCAAAAATAGAGGAATCGTTCTTTATAGTAACAGAAAAAGCATTGCTCGCTTCTGATTAGAGATAATTAATGGAACAGGGTGTTGTGCTGTGCAGAGTCACTTGGCTAAGCCATTACAGAAAAAACTTGGCAGCAAACTCTCCAGAAGGGCCATGCAAAGTCATCAGATCTGATTCTTCTCTGAATCTGCACGTTGCCTGAGTGGGAATTTGTCATACTCTGCAGGACAGAGAAGGGGAAAAACTGGGTTTACTATGGCTCTAGTGTGACACCATCACTTGGTGTAAACTGGCAGAGTGTTAATCCCATGTTGCATGTCACTCTATAAAATAGTGGTAGTTACTGGTGCCTTGAAAAGAAGTATGTGAAGTCAGGGTAGTTGCTGAGAAGTGTATGTGTAGGAATAGCCTGAAATTAAGTCTTATATCCGTTAGCCTGGTCCGTTCTAGACCTGGGATCCATTTGTGATTATTGATTTCAATTCTTCAGAGTTCAAAGACTTTCTGAAGAACAAGAAGAGAAGTGGTTTAGGAGGATCTCAGTGTTACTGATTAGGCCTCCAACTCAGCAGCTTAGCAAACTGGGAGAAATAAAAAGTTACTGAGGAAGAGTAAACTTGTTTGTGCACAAAAATTCTGTCTTGCTTCCTCTTCCCAAGACATGGAAAAAATGTGACAGGTTCCAGCAGATCTTCATCAAAGCTCATCTCCCACACAATCCTAGCTTGGATAATAACCTCTGATCTAATACATTAGTATTAATCTTTCAATCTCAAGAAAACATACAGTCCTACCTGAACAAGCATGTCCTGCTTGTCATTGCAAGGTGAATCAACCAGATACAGTTCCCTGGAATAGCTCATCCATGTAGGAACAGGCCAGCAGCTTGTGCATGTCTATATTCCAAAGCATGCCAAGGTGTGCTTTCAATAAAGAAATCTTTCCCTCTCTCCTAGGGTGAATATTTCTCAGCTTTCAAGCAGGCTTCCCGACGGGAGGATGACATTGCTATTGTGACCTGTGGCATGAGAGTCCAGTTCCAAGAAGGCACTAGCCAAGTGGAAGAGATTAAGTTGAGCTATGGAGGAATGGCTCCTACAACTGTCCTAGCAGTAAAAACTTGCCACGAGCTCACTGGGAGGTAGGCATTTTTCTGTGATAGAAAGGCTTCCTAATAGCAGCAATGTTGACTTTTACAGAAGCAATTTAAATATCCTGAATCCTCTCTGGTAGCAGAAGGAGAAAGGGGAAGAAGCATAGCTACAGTTTTACAACAGTCTGCGTTCTGTGCAAAGCCTTGCTCCTTCCAGTACTCCTTTCCCTCAAAGATCCATGTCAGCGTCTCATTCAGAGAGCTCTTTTCCTGCTAAGTGCACTCATCTGTAAAGGTGGGCATAACCTAGACACTGGGATGGCCTGAAAAACTGAATTTCATTCAAACCGAACTGAGAAACCTGCACTCATCATTTAATGGCATTGCCATATCTTTAGAACAGAAGACATATGCCCAATATGAGAGCAAAGATGACACATATACTATAGATAGAGGTAGAGCGAGTAGCTGTAACTTGAGAGCCACTGGAGTTGCCATGTCAGATGAGTTCATCTGGCCTGGTAATATTTAGGGCTAAGCAAGGGCTGAGTATCACTGTGTTCCTTTGCAGAGACTGGAACGAGAAGCTGCTGCAGGATGCCTGCCGCTTGCTGGCGGGTGAGGTGGACTTGTCTCCTTCTGCACCTGGTGGGATGGTGGATTTTCGACGTACACTCACACTCAGCTTCTTCTTCAAGTTCTACCTGACGGTGCTTCAGAAGCTGAGCAAGCAGCACAATGGCCCTGTGAGTGCTGCTGAGGAAGGAGGGCTGGGAAAGATGGGCCTGTGCGCGCTCTCTGGATTGGGAAGGCACGAGGAGGGTTCAGATACAAGCAGATCTTAGCATGATACAAGACTTAGATACAAGTCTTAGACTTAGATACAAGTCTTAGATACAAGTCTTAGACTTAGATACAAGTCTTAGACTTAGATACAAGTCAGACTTAGCATGCCTGCAGGTGGCCATGAAGGGAATATTTTCTGACAGAAAACTCCCTGTTGTAATGACTGCCAGAGCTGCCCTGCTCCTTCTCTGTGTGACAGTGACCAATGTTTCTGCCCACTTGCTCCCCCTTGGCACCCCCACCTTGCTGTGGAAAAACACTGCTCTGCGAGCCCGTGGGAGGATTCCTGGATTTCTCCCATTCAGTGCACCGCACCTGCTCTCGTAGGGCTGTGGTTATTCTTCCCATTTGCCTTTTACCCTGTAAAAGAAGGCTTACGTTCATGGCAAGCTGAGCACTAGACCCATCTATGTGGCGACTGTGGGCTTCTGCCACACAGTACCAACAGCTGTACTCTTCTCTGTTGACCAGCCTCCGACTGGTGCATTTGCCCCTCATGGCTCTGCAGGTTACCCTGGTACGTAGAAGGGAAACTCCAGCTTGGGGGAAAGAGGAGAATATCCTGAGCTACTGGGGAATGTGAGAAAGGGACTGGCAGGAGAGTTGATTGTTCTTTAATGTGTCTCTGGCAGAATAAGCTGTGTGAGCCCATCCCCTCGAACTACATCAGTGCCACAGAGCTGTTTCACAAAGATCCCATTGCAAATGTCCAGCTCTTCCAAGTAAGTAGCAGTACCTACATCATCCAGGCTCAGGCTTTTCTATAGCCCAAACTGTGCTGCTTATTGTCTCGTTGCCTTCCTGAATATGGACCGTACATGAACTTCCTGCAGTTCTGCCATTCATGAGATTTGTATTTGGGTCTCTGTCCCTTCCTTGCTTTAGAATACAACATTCTTTCCTGTCATCGCTCAAGACTTTGTTCCTGAAGTGGGTACCACTTTTCTTCTTCAGCCAGAGCTCTGTATCCAAACTAAACCTGTTCTACTATGCAGTTTCAGCCTGCCTCTATTTGCATCTCTCAGGCTTCGGATTCAGGATGTATCTCCTTCCTTGTTTCTCTGCTCATGACCTGTTCTCTTTAGGTTTGAGAGGAGAAGCTGGCTGTAGAATTTGAATCTTTCATACCGGCTGTCACATCAAACCCTTCTCTTCTATAGCTGTTTCAAAGAATTGAGTCCCTTTCACCTCATTCTCTACCCCGCTTTGTGTAGCCACTCCATCTTGTTTATCTTCCTTTCCCACAGGACTTAGTCCTCCCCTTCCCAAACTCACTAGAATGAATCTCCTGCCTTTTGCTCTCTGGTCAATGCTTGTATCCCCTGCAATAGGAGCAGCAGTAGATAGCCTTGTGTTTTACTCCAGGAAGTGCCCACAGGGCAGGCAGTTGAAGATATGGTGGGCCGGCCTTTGATGCACCTTTCAGCAGCCAAACAAGCATGTGGAGAGGCTGTCTACTGTGACGACATCCCTCACTATGAGAATGAACTGTATCTAACACTGGTCACCAGCACCAAAGCCCACGCTAAGATCCTGTAAGTGCTGCTCCTGAGTTCTAGATGTTGCAAGCATCTGGTATCTGATGGCTTAGAAAACAGTGATCTGTCAAGAAAGGGGTGAGGAGAAGGTTCTTGCATTAGTGGGAATTCCAGTTCATTGCACATCGTTACATAGAGGTGAGCTGTGTGTGCTACAACTGTCTTGCAAATCTACATCGGTGGGAGTGTGAGGGAGTTAACATTGAACTCCCAGCTTTACTGGAGCACCGAGTCCTGGTCCCTAGGCAGAATTCTTGCATGCCCCATCTCTTACACTCAAATGTGCAGGACTAAAAAGGAGCAGGATAGGAGAGCACCACAATGTCTGAGGAGATGTCACCTTAATCCCTGACCTGAGCATGCAGCTTGGACATGCCCTTTTTTGCCTGCCTAAAAATTCAGCTTGTAACATGCAGTTCCACCAAAGCACTCCCACTGGTTTGTAGTCAGCTGTGTGTGCATCATCTTCTGCTTTGACCTTGCAGAGTGCTTATTTGCTCTGGCCATGATCGCTTGATATAGGCTTCAGCATAGCAGCCTATATGAATTAGCCTCATCTAATAGACATAGAGTTGTTTGTGTTTGGCTGTAGTAAGGTGGATAGATCGGTAGCTGGGAGGGCAGCTGGCTTGAAACACATCTTGTCCATACGGAGCATGGCTGATGCATAATTTATAACCGTGCTGACTAACCACCTCTCAATAGCCTACCCTGATAGATAGTGTCTTCTGCATTCTCATGTGAGTCTTAATGCTGTTATATTGCGGTACTGACTGCCCCACAAAATCCCTAACTGTGCTTACATTGTGGTGGCTCTGCAGGCTCTCATCTGCTCTGGACTGCTTTGATGTGGGACACTCTACGTTACATTGCCCCATGTCATCTTCAGAAGCCTTGCAATGTGCTGTTTGTTCCTTAGGCAATACTTCCTGCCTATTTAGGCTTCCTGCCCAGACGTTTCCCACAGTGCTCTAATACAGGGCGGGCAGCACGGTAGTCAGGGGTGCACAGATGTAGTTGACTCCCAAGTTATGAAGGAAACTGCTCTGTCATCACAGTTAAATCTTAGGTGTTTCAACTTGGTCACTGGTGGTGCTACAAACAAATAGGCGTTGTTACTATTACTCGTGCACATGAGGCAGCAGAGAAAGCATCAGATCTATGCTTGTGGCCACAATATGCGGTATTTTCTAGAGGTTGCTGTGCACATACCCTTGCACTTGTACTGTGTAATGCATGCATTCACATTTCAAGCCATAAGTGTGTGTCATTCTGCAGAGGAAGTGACAGAATATTTTATCAGGTGATAGAGGTATTTCCGCCTATAATTTTGCTGGTCAAAATATTGGCTCTGTTGAAGTTAATGACAAAACTTCACTTCATCTGAGTCAGGTTTTGACCACTAAGTGTAAGTTAGAAATCACCTGCCTGAGTATTGACTAAGGAAATCAGCCAGGGGATTCTTTCTGAGGCCTTATTGCAGAAGCGCGGGAAAGCGAACTTTCCAAAGAAAAATAACGTTGTCTTCAGTTTCTGCTGTCTAAGAGTTCATGTGTAAAAGTTAATTCGTATGTTTATTTTTTTTTTAAGTTCATAACTCACTGGGATGCATAAACAACTACTTTCAGGCACATTTTGTAGTGGAGTTTCAGGAATCTGTACAAGCATGCTGGAAAAATAACAGCAATTTATGAAAGACAATAAATCATTCAGTTAGGAGAAACATACCCACAGCTCTTCTGTTTGCAACAGCTCCATTGCCAAGCCAGCCAATTGCATAGCCAGTGTACAAAATATTGCAAAGGGAGCTGGAAAGTTTTCTGAAATGTATTTATGGTTACTTTCTGTTTTGCTTGTCACTTAGTTTTAAGTCTGTGTACAACTCAAGCAGGCAAGCATTTTGGTTAGGTGCCTCTTTTACTGACTACTGAACAAGACCACTCATGAAACTTTTTATCTCTTGGAGCTTCATTTCTTTAATGTCCGTTTAAATACCCTACAGCTTCCTTGTCACTGGTACTTAGCAACTTCTTCCAGACTCACAGCCACATTTTTCTGTGGACGTGAACACACTGTTGATGCTATATGTAGACAGTAAAATCTCCTATTTTTGAGTGCACAGAGAGAAATCCTGCCTTTACAGAATCATAACATCTAAGAGGAGAGTGGAGAAAGGCCAGGCCATCACTAACACCAATCTGTCTTTGGATAAGAGCACCAGGAGATCTCTAGTAGCCATGATCAGGAGGTCAAGTTCAGATGTGTCTCAGCCAAAAGATGTATGATACAGTATAGTTCAAAGAAGCACCTGGGAATCAGACTGACTGTCAGGATCCAAATTATAGTATAGATCCCTAATGATTTAAGTCTGATTTGTTGCCTTTCTGCCTTGGTCTCGCATGATAGTTATATGACAAACTCCTCTTTTGCATAGCCAGACCATGGGGAATCAGGCCCGTAGACTTATTGGTATTTCATGCTTATAAGCACTTACAGAATTAGATCAATGAGAAATAATAACTGCTTCTCCTGCTCTCTTTATTTAGTTCTGTAGATACATCTGAGGCCCAGACTGTCCCTGGGTTTGTGTGTTTTGTCTCTGCTAAGGATGTTCCTGGGAGTAATATCACTGGCATCGCTAACGACGAGACTGTCTTTGCTGATGACATGGTACGTGTTGAAAATAATCTGTTTTGATCACGCTACCTAGGAGATGAAGTTCCTCATCTTATCCAGTGAAGTCCTCCACTGTACGCAGGGTGAAATCCTGACTGCATTGGAGTCAATAGAAATCTTACTGCCAAATTCAGTAGCGCCTGAATTTCCTCACTCTGTGCCCCTCTCCTCCATCTATCTGCACCATTCTCCTCTAAGCTGCAGTCATCTGGAACAGGCTCACTCATTCAGTTACTTTTCAAAGTTATTTGCAGTCAAGTTTTTCCTTGACAAGTTATGAGTAATTTTGGCTATATATCATTCAGATAGCTCTTATATAGTGAAAGTGAACCTGGCCCTCAGAGAGAAGCAAGAAACCACAACTCTAGCTACTCAGCTTTATCTCACTCAAAGCTTTTTTTAAAAAGCCTTATCCAAGAATTGCACAGACGGAAGAGATGAGAAATCATCGTGAGCCTTTCAGTGCCTTCATATACGCACAGCAAGTGATGATGAGTCCTATTCTTACCCGTAGGTCACTTGTGTCGGTCATATCATCGGTGCAGTTCTTGCAGACACACAAGAGCATTCCAGAATAGCGGCTAAAGCTGTGAAGATTAAGTACGAAGAGCTCAAACCTATTGTCACGATTCGGGTAAGATGGCACAGATCTGCTTCCGCAGTTAACCTGTGGCCTCCTGATGGCTAGTTAACCTCTGTTCTCACACATGGGATTATGTAACCATGTGTTTTGCTGCCTTTGTGGTGCAAATGCAGCAAGATACAGATAAAAAAGATTAATTTATGTATTTAAATATAAAGAGGATACACTTTTCATATGATAGTAATTGGGAATTCATTAACTTGTCCTATGCTATTTAACATTGAAACAAATCAGCCAGACTCTGCGAGGTATATTGCACTCAACACAAATTTGCTTACATTAACAAGATTGCTTTCAGTTACATTCTTGCCCACAGATGCCTACTTTCTATAGTCTTCTCTGGTATAGCCTTGCTGGCTTCGTTGGTATTCGTTCATTCTCTATTCGCTGATTTTCAATAATAAGAGGGCGTGAAAAAGTCCCTTTTCCCTCTGTAGCTGTGCTATTTATCTGAGATTCTGCAGAATATTTGTCTAGTTTCTAAAGCTGATGAAATTAATTTGCAGGAGTTATGTCTCCACAGTGAACATTTCCACTGACTGTATGTATACAGTCCTTTAGCAGATCTTCTCAAAGCTGAAGAAATGAGTGTCACCAATTTGTGATCATTTATACCTTTTTTAATCAGAAGACTTATTAACAAGATTTCCTTATGTGAGAGTAAAAGCAAATGGCAATAGCTAAGAAGGCATTCACAGACAGAAAAAAATGTATGAAGCCATTCTCACTGGGGGGAAATTAGAACCATGGGTTTCTAATTTTTTATAATCCAACTGTTTTGTAATGCGAATTGTATTCATGTATTCTTCAAATATGAAGAGTTACTAGGCATTGCCTAGTACAGATATTGATGCTGTCATCTGTACACAAAGGTTTTGATTAGCTTTTATGATTCGGGAGTTCACAAACAACATTTGAGAACTTTTGCCTTTCTGAGGGTTTTAGCGACTTGTTCATCCAGCCAAAAGATAATGGGGCCAAAAATGTGCTGATTTTTCTTTCTTCTGCGAGCCCTGGGTTGCTTTTTTATTATGGAAGCTTCTGCTTTGGCAAAAGGGAAATATGTTGGTAAAATTTCAGCAAGAAAGATTATCGTATTTGACTCCAAAGGCAACTATTTCTGAAGAAGCTCTCATCCTTTCTGGGAGATTTAGTTTGCTCCTTGTGTCTCTCTTCTTTGTCTCTCTCCCTCACCTCTCCCACCTGGAGCCATGGACTGCAGTTCATCAGTTCCTTTAGTTGTGAGTCGTAGCTCTGGTGGCTATGAACTTTGGGGTTCTGGGTCCCTGAGGTAAAATGGATCACAAGGAACAATCTAAGATTGTCCAATTATGGTGCTTTCTGTAAAATTACTGTGTTGCGAAAAATTGTTTTGTACTGTTTTAAGTCATTTGGCTATTGCCATAGGTAGTGTCTGGTAAGTTCTTGTGCTTTTTATCTTGGATATTTTTTATTCAGTCAGAGAAAGTGTTGCTGTCACTCTGTTTCCATAAAAACTTCACTGTGCTATTTTGTTTCCTAGGAAGCTATTGAGCAACAATCCTTCTTTAAGCTTATAAGAAAGCTTAATAAAGGAGATGTAAAGAAAGGATTCGAAGAATCTGATCACGTTTTGGAAGGTGAGAATAAGTGTTAATACTTGTTTTCAAGTAGGACAGTTTGTGACAAAAGAAGTCAAAATGTAAGCCTCCTTTTCACACATGCAACACTGAACTCATACAAGTAAGACTGGTAGGCTGAACTGATTTCATAGTAAGTTTTAAAGTACTATTTATATACAAATAGCTCATGAAAGATTTAATTTCAGTTTCAAAAGGACTTGGATGCTCAGTGGGGAATAGTACATCTGTAAGTACTCTCTTCCAATGTAAGGCCACTTAATTCTTGAACAAACATTCTACATAGTGATTTTTTTCCTGAAATGTATCCATATAGGAGCTTTTCCCGATCCAGGCAGAGTGGTCTGAATCTTATAGCAATTCAATTTCCTTTAACCTGTTATGTGGCTTTAATTTATGAAAATGGGACACACATGCTTTTGAAAACCGATCTACCAGTATTTGTGCCTGTATGTATCATGAAGAACATAGAACTGTCCTATAACTCTTTCTGAACGTTGTTTTTGGCCTGTCTCTGGGGATGGGTATTTTGGTATGTTTCTTGGTTTAATTCAATTCGGATCTGCCAGACAGGGTTTAGAGGGGTGGCTAAACACAGCAATTGTCGTCAACTGATTAATAACGAAGAGTCGGGAGGGGACAGTGTCAGAGCTGTGAAGTAGAGCACTCTGTCAGATCCACATCATTTGACCAGGATTAGCCAAGAGTAGCTTGCTCAGTATGTATCATTGGTCAGTAGCTCCTGAAAGAGAAGAGTTAAAGACCTTAGACCTTCAGGGTATTATGTATTTATCAACGAGAGAGTGTTGCCTCCCTTGGCCAGATCTGAGAAGGGAGAGAATTAAATCAGTTACAGACAGAAGGCCTGGTATGAAGGGTTTATACTCAGAGACCATGGAGTAACATGTCTGTTCCCCTTCCCCTGGGGGAAGGGAGGGTATTATTTAACTGAAATAACTGTTACCAGTTCCGTTGTCTGCTATATTTTGCTATGCATTGCTGAGACTTTTTCTCTGCAGTCAGCCATTTGAGTTGGCACTTCAAGGGGTTCATAAGCTGTTGTTAACTGTAACATGGAGTACTATATAAACTGAAAAGAACTGTGCCAGGCAAGGCAGAAGTTGTTCTGGACTATAAGAGTAGCTTATTTAAAAGCCCACAATACTGTGTGAATGCCAGGCCAAGGCTCTAAGGGAGACAGGGGGAAAGCCCCTGCTAGGTACCAGAGCAAGCATTGTTTTACCCCGTGAGAAGACAGCTATTTTGTTGTCACTGAGTTGAATAGAAGGAAGAGAGGAACAATATTTTGGGAATTGCTCTGAAGATTAACTTTCATGGCAGCTGAATAGACCAGAGCCATGACCAGAGCCATGACTGGGAAAGGAGGTTGTTTCTGAGATTTAACAATGTGCAGCACATCTGAAAATTGCACTATCAGCACTGCCAGGTGAGATGTCCTGTGAAAGAGCCATGTGCAGCCGCTGAGAGTTGACGCCCATTTAGATCTTATTAAAGCATTCTGAGTTTCTCTTTTTGCAGCCTTGTTTCCAAGTCTGTAATCTTGCATTTGATCTGCTCTGCTAGAATATGTTTTGTTTATTTTTATCCTTTATCTCAGTGGCCAATCTGAAAGACATCAGACATTGCCTCTTGAGGGTTATTGGGTCAATGGACTGGTGGGCAGGCTTATTTTTGTAGTGGATAGAAAGTGGGATACTTTTTTTTTTTTTGAATCAACAAACTGGAACTGTCAATTGAAGGGTTAGGGATATCCAGTGCTGGACAGGGCAGAGGAGTTTCCTTTAATGCTTGTCAAAAGGGTTTACAGGCAACAGGTGGTGGGAGATCTCTTATGACTCCAGGGATACCCTGTCTATGGGGCATTTCTTTCTCTCTGTTTCCTAGGAGAGATGTACATTGGTGGACAGGAGCATTTTTATCTGGAAACTCACTGTACCGTGGCCGTGCCAAAGGGGGAGGATGGTGAGATGGAACTCTTTGTGTCGACCCAAAACCTAATGAAGACACAGGTACTGTCTCTCTCTGGCCTGCTGCCTAAAAGCAATTTGATTCCCAGTGCTTTGACTAGATAAACTGTTGTTTTGTAGTTTGTCCTAGCTCGTCTTGCATAAAAATGCCACACTGGCTCAGAACTGGATGTGGGATCTAAAGTCCACATCCATCCCCCTGGTGTTCTGAATTCACTTCCAGGTGACAGAGAAGTTTCTGTTGCAGCACCTCTCTCTGTGCCTGGATTACACCCTTAACCATTTTCTGGAGATGGGGTTGGCTGGTGAATAGCCATGGCCACTGAATGACATGTCGGAAAGGGAGGTGGTGCAAACACTGACAATACAGACCAACCCTGCCACCTTGTGGGACAAGCTACTGTCACTATGAGATGTCTGCCCTGTTTACTGACTTCCAACAAGAAAAGCATCATTCCCTCCCTATAAATCTTCCCTTGTGATTTACGTTCACTTTGAAACGTAAAGTTGTTGTCGACACCAAGACTATCTAGAGGTATCATAACTGAGTGAGGAGAATGGAGAGCGTGGAAGGGATCTCAGACTTTGTGCTAAGTGAGATCCATGTCTTGGTAAGCTTACCTCATGTCAATCTCTTCCTGAATCTTGTGCTGTCTGTTAAGGCCCTGCACGCCCTCTCATTTCAGAGATGATATACTGGGATTACTGGTTCCAATTGCAAAAAATCCACTTGCAGGACCAATAGGACCTGCAGTAGTAACAGAATATTTGCACTGTTGCAATGTTTGCAGAATGGAGAAAGCTAAGACAGGCCGTATTTTGGTATCTATTTCTTACCACCAGCTCAGCTCCTTGCATGCTCTGCTTTTCTATTTTTCTTTAGGAGTTTGTTGCTAATGCATTAGGAGTCCCTTCAAATCGGATTGTGGTTCGAGTGAAAAGAATGGGAGGAGGATTTGGAGGAAAAGAGACTAGAAATACTATATTGTCAACTGTGGTGGCTGTGGCTGCTTTCAAGTAAGTCTGAGTACAGCAAATTGTGCTTCTTCCTTTCAGACTTCACCTGTCCCGGGCTGCCCATTTTGGAGCACGATTTTTGCTAGAGCACTTTGAAGAGTCTTTATGGCTTCTTAGTGTGTAGCTTGTAGCAAGCTCTGAATTCCTAAAGGGGGTGTTTAGTGGGCTCTTAGCTGGAAGGAGGAACTAAAGCTGCTGGAAGGGGCTGTGCTTATGCAGGGATGTGAGCTTTTGCTATGTAAATAAGAAAGGGAAAAACCTTACTCTGCTATTTCTTTGATATTCTCCTAAAACTCTTGTGTGTCAAACTTTCTGCCCCTCCAGTTCGCTTCACCCCAGGGAGTTTTAAAATCCAGCACTAGCCTTGCTTGGATTGTGTTTTGTATAATAGAGGTATGACAGCCTCTTTCGTACTCAGAAATCTGCTACTGACACGGGCCTTGCACCTACCATTTCTCTGCTCTTCTGCAAACCCTGCTGTCTTTGGATTTTCCCTAGGAAGGGGGGCAGGCTACAGTATAGACCACCCCACTTTTCCAGCCCCTGAAAGCTCAGGGAATCGATCTACATTGTAACCATTTATGAAGCATAGAGTAAATGTGCTTCTGGTTTCTGGAGGTTTGATGTGGGTTCATCTTTAACTGTGCAAATTTTTGTAGTTGTGAGTGAACAACCATGCATGTAACACTTCCCTTCTCGATGTTGCTCTTGTATGCTAGGATGCTCCCTGCTGGTAATGTTAGCTGTAAGTTTGGACAGAGCAGTAATTTGATAAGAGTATTTTTGGAGGACAGTAGCCAAAATGAAACTCTTGTACTTAAACCAGTTTTATTTTCTCCATTCTGAGCAAACCTCCTGCTTTCTTTACTTAATCAGTAATACAGATTCATTTTTTATTCTTTTTATCTCTGTCAGCCAAACTAGTGATTGCATATTCCAGAGGCAATGAAATGACATCTGTGTCATTCCCTAGATATTTTTGCAACCTAAAGAGAGGCTCTGGGAAGTCAGGCTTGTTAGAAAATGAGGAAGAGCTCCTTTTCTCCTCCATGTTATCCTCCATGGATAATAAATAAGCAACTAAAGACAAGGTCAAACTGAAGCCTAGTTAGTACTTTACTTAGCATTATTTCACAATTCATATGGTATTTTCTCTAGCAAAGCCAAAAGAGTGCCTTGAGAAGTAGTCCAGAAAACAGCGATTGCTCGGTTGTCATTATCTGTGCCTATAAGAAACTACCCTTTTTAAAATAGGACTCTCCACAAGAGTTTTCAAGAGCAAGTCTCAGTCTCTAAGATATTTTTCTTTTTTCACTCAATCTTGATATTTTCTTTAGAGGAAGATATATAATCCAGGCAATTTACTCCTAACTCATGTAGCTGTTGCCACTCTGGAAAGACGACGCCCACGGGAAAGAGAAGAGCCTTCCTCTGTAGGAACTATATAGCGCATTTCAGGCTTTGCCTGATAAATGTGTTTTTTCCTTTAACAGAGCTGACTGCCCTGTACGGTGCATGTTGGATAGAGATGAGGACATGTTGATAAGTGGTGGAAGGCATCCCTTCCTGGGGAGGTACAAGGTATGCATGCACATAAAATGAAAGCATGTCCTCTTGGTTTTGTCACCTGAAGCATCAGTGAGCAGCAAGATACTGTGATAAACTTGTTGCTGTAGTTTCACTGCTGATCTCTGCTGTTGCAGATGGGTCTGGTCAGCTGGGTTATAGGGTTCTACCTGTTGGAGTCCTGCAGAAGTTCTTTGGGCTCCAGTGAGCTTCCTTCTAACCTTAGAGTGAACACTTCCCTCTTCCTTGAAGCCAAGATTGTGCCCCTGTTGACAATCACGTTGCTTTTAGATGTCCCCCAATTTGTTTACAGTATTGCATTACTAATTGTTCTGTTAACTTACTTTTCTCTCATCCAACTGCTTAAAAAACAAAATCCCATTAAGGAGAGTGTGGCTACTGCAGGTGGCGAGCACTAGTTTTAGAAGTGTTCTCTGAGGCAAGATTGAGGTGCATACCTAAGCCCTTCCTGGGAAGCTTCCTCAGGTATTCCCACTGCTTGTCCTATGCTGCAGCAGAGGACAGCCAACCTCACACTTTTTGTCTGTGTGAGGTCCATTGAGTTTTGGGTAGGAAGTAGGAAACAGAAAATTTTGTAGAAGAGACATTACTGAAGAGACTTTCTTGACAGGTTGGCTTCATGAAGAATGGGAAGGTCAAGAGTTTGGAGGTGTCATACTACAGCAATGGGGGCAACTCTGTAGACCTCTCTTATGGCGTAAGTAGAAGAAATAAATATTCTGACGGGTAACTAGGTGAAAGACACATGTTTCCCTGGGCAACTTTTTGCTTTGACTTCAGAGAACTGCTGTCTACAGCAACGCTTGCACATTCTGCTCTTTGACATGACTGAAAATAGATCTTGGGGGTTTTTGGAGCTTCTACAGCTGCTTTCTGAGCCAACTGGTCTGTCTTGGCATGTATCACGTAGTTCTTATTGATGTTGTAGTAACTTGGATTAGGCAAAAGGGTTGGGAAAGTTTATTTTTACATTACAGATGCGTGCAGAGAGCTGTGATGGAAGACTTCTTGCACAGTGCAAAGTGATTGAAAGTCAGTACAGTGTGGCAGATGTGGGGAAGTTTGTTCTTTGGAATAGGAAATATCGTGCTGATCGGGGCAGCTAAATCAACAAGCTGGTTAAGCAGTGCCTAAACCTAACACAAGCCACAAGCTTAACGTTGGAGTTTGGAAGCACTAAGGGCAAAGATGAGCTGTAACTCTGTGTCTCCAAGAATTTTACACTGTTGAATAGAAAACTGTCCTCTTCTGCCACATGAGTGACCTACTCAGTAATCTAATGTCATTCATGTTTAATCTAGCTCCCCTTCCTTGGTCTCCTGAGTCTTGGATGGTTTTTTGCAAAATGAACACGTTACAGTGAGAGAAGAATGCAAGTACCAGAGACTCGTTTGGTGCTAGCAATGTGCTTGATGCTGTACAGAGCAGAATGGCAGGAAAGTGTCTGTGTAAAGTAAGGGCCTGGTTGGGAGTGTGTCAGTGTGAATCGTCTTTTTGAGTGCGTCTGAAATTGGTGACTGGGACGTGCATAATCTCCTCTCTGGGCTGCTGCTGGGAGGGAAATCTTGGTGCTCAAGCCTGAAAGAAGCAGTGGCTTACTCCCAGTCTGGATCATTCGTGGAGGAAAGTCCTGAATCCTGCAGTTTGGATGTAACTATTGAAAACCTTTACTTCACGTAGTTGCTATTACTCCCATAGGCCAGCTGCTGAGTCACCGGACATCAGCAAGACTTCTTTTCTAGGAACAGATTATTCAGTATCATTAAAGGAAGACTCTCATGCTTCCAGATGAATAATGGCCTTTAGTGGCGGTTTGGGCCCAGCATGACCCCAGGGCCAAGGAAGGACTTGAAGCTCATGTTGTCCCATGGCCCTAAGTGTCATGAAGAAGTGTGCTTATTGTCCTGTCCTTCAGGAGGATATAGCAAGCAGCCCACTTGATACTCGGTTGCAAATGGGAGGGAGTAAAGACTGCACATCATTGCTGATCCAGCTGGGTGGACTGAGGCCTACAAGATGCGAGAGAAAGTGATTGTTGTTGTAAATTAGCTTCAGACCTTTCTAGTCTGTCTCTAGCAGGCAGTGGGAAGTCTGACATGTGATTCATATCAAATGTCTCCCGTTTCACCCCTCTCCCCCACCACCTCTTTTCTACATCAGGTTATGGACAGAGCTCTGTTACACTTGGATAACTCCTACAGCATCCCCAATGTCAGCAGCTTGGGCGTTGTTTGCAAGACCAACTTGCCTTCCAACACAGCCTTCCGTGGCTTTGGAGGGCCTCAAGGAATGATGATTGCCGAGTGTTGGATGAGTGACCTTGCTCGGAAGTGTGGCCTGCCGCCTGAGGAGGTATAGGTCCATTGATGTATTTCAGGGCAGCACTGCCCTTGAACAAGCTCTGGCAACTGGACACACAACTACAGCAAATTATGAAGAATAAGAACTTTTGCTTCATTTTTGCTAAGTCCTTAGCAGAATCTCAAAATTTCCTTGGGACAACCACATTATAGCATGGGCTATCTCCTGCTTCATTAAATTCCCTTAGTAGCCTCAACTGTGTAACCCCAGTTTTCATGATAGATGGATTTAGAAAAGTCCGAGGAGATCAAGTACCCTAATCTTACTACCAGTGGGCTTTACTCCTAATTCTTCTTGAAAATTCCCAGTTTTAATGTTTTGTTCCCTTATTTTCCCCTAAACAGAGATTTAACTGTTAATTCTATTGTTCTGTAAAGTTAACAAAGGAGGGAAAACTAGGGACCAACTTGCTTTTGATGTTATTCATTAAAAGAACTTAGTTTGAAGGATTAAACTTGGCATATCCTTTATACATCTCTCTCTTTGGGAAGGTACGGAAGCTCAATCTTTACAATGAAGGAGACCTAACCCATTTTAACCAAAAGCTGGAGGGCTTTACCCTGCGAAGGTGCTGGGATGAGTGTTTGTCAAGCTCCAGCTATCATGCCAGGAGGAAGCAAATTGAAGAATTCAACAGGTAGATGTTCTCGAGCCACAGTGATGCTGGGTGTACCTGCTGCCCACTAACTTCTGAAATTCTCTTAGCAACTAGAGTGATGGGAAATCAGACCATATATTTAGAGAGTGACTTCTAAAAACTTCTCTTTTTGAAATTCCTTCAGATCCACTGTGGGAGTAAACCTCTGTCAGTGACCTGGTAGCTTAAATAAGGTTGAAATAAGGCTTGGCATGACATATTCTTTTTTTTTTTAATGGAGAGGGTTTTTTTGAGTCTAGTCTTTGCCTAACTTTTCGGACAGCTAGCAAGGCAATATATACATATGGAAAAGGCTTTCCACTGCCTTTTCCTCTTTTTTTAGTTGGCTTGTATTTATAATTGGATAGCTAATAGTCCAGGCAATTACTTCTCTAATATCTGGGGAGTATCTTCAGATAGTCAGATTTCTTCTTGTTGAGACTCATAAAGAAAGCCAATGTGTCGTAAAAAGCTCCTGGTCAACTCAATCCGTATTGCAGTCAGGTACTTCATTTCATCTTTGAGACCCAAAATGTTGGAGGGCAGCATGGCATTGAGTTGCAATGAAAGCCTGATGAGTAAACAAACAATGTTCTCTCCTTGCAGGCAGAATCGCTGGAAGAAAAGAGGGATGTGCATTATTCCTACCAAATTTGGCATCAGCTTCACTATCCCGTTTCTGAACCAGGTCCTTAAGTGTCATTTGTCTTTTCAGTAGATGAGCTAAATTTATGCTACTTCCCCCAGGCCTTCCTCCCACTGTACGTAACGAGAGCTTTTTAAGGAAGGACTAAATTAATTAAGAAAGAGCACAAATTTTGAATTTCGAAAATCAAAATGGGAAAAATAACAGTTACTTCTTTATATGGTCCAGAAGGTACCACAATGCAGCTATATTTTCATGGTACTTTGTTATATTACTTTATATTACTATATTACTGCCTATTCTCTCTTCCTCGAGATTAGCAGCACTGTGACTCTGCAATACGGTAATTTTTGTCCATATGCGTGACCTGCATTCTTGGGCTCGATGGGCTGTTAGTGGTGTTGGCAAGTTCAGATTAAGGGTACCTCTGTGTTGCACAGGGGCAGGTTCCGGTTTGTCCATCTGCTTTCTGAGCTGGAAACGGTGGCTGAGGTTTGCCATGCCTTTGGAACCTCTGCTGAGTCAGTGATACTAGAGCAAATCTACTCCAAGTGTACACTAGTGGCTATAGTTACACTAAGGACCATGCTGCTGCATGATCCTCCATTTTGCAATCCGGTTTTGCTGCTTTGGTCTAGTTCCAAATTCTTTCTCTCTCTCTTTCTCTAGTTTGTAACTCAAGCCTGCCAAGTATTTCACTGGCTCACTTATGATGACTCTTGGATTAATATTCCCTTTTATAGGCTGGAGCTCTGGTTCATGTGTACACAGATGGCTCCGTGTTACTTACACATGGTGGGACTGAGATGGGTCAAGGACTTCACACCAAAATGATCCAGGTAGTGATGAGTTTGGATGAGTATGAGACATCTTTTCAGGCAAATTACACTCACTGTATAAAATTGCCCCAGACAACTTGAAATCTCCTCTATGTGTAGGGTAACAAATCTGACTAATTCCTCTTACTGTTTCAGTGGCAGTGCCAGATTTACAGCCCAATGTTACAACTGAGTGTACGACTTAGATTCATCAGCCTCTCAGTTCTTTGGTTTTAACGTGTAATTTAAATCTGTGATATGAAACTAAAAATGGAAATAGTGCAGGTTATGCTTAAAATCTAGCTTCTTATGGCAATTTCTTTTCATCCCCTAAAACTACAGTATACATATATTTTATACTAATATTTGTTATGCTGCAAACATATTTAACTGCATTTGTTAACAATTTATTAACTGTATTTGCCTTTTTCATTAAAAGGGCATGGGGGAACAGGATTGTTCTGACAGAGAAATGAAAGGAAAATCTAATAGGGCTCTTTATCCTCCGATTCCTTTAATTGTTGAGATAAGAATTTAGTCTCAGTGAGTGTCTGTCATTGTGGCAAAAGCATACATATATGCATGCATGTGCATTCTCAGTCTGTCAAGGGCAAATAATTTTCCAGCTGGCTCTCAATCACCAAACTGACTGACTCCCCAAGAAAGATGAAGATTAGGAGTGGAGAGGATAGAGTTTGCACTCCAGACCCTAGCAGCATAGGCAATGAACTATTATGCTCGTATATAAGAACAACCACTTACCAGTTTTTTACCTTTGCTCTGCAGGTTGCTAGCAGGACACTGGGAATCCCCACCTCCAAAATTTACATCAGTGAGACAAGCACAAACACAGTCCCAAACACCTCCCCGACAGCTGCCTCTGTCAGTGCAGACATCAATGGAATGGCTGTCCATGTACGGAAACTGAGTAATTTGGACTAGTTGGGTCATAAGCTGGGACTCCAGAACATAAAAAATTTGATGTTATCTGTTGCTTAAGAAAGGTAGAGCCTTCAAAAGGGAATTCCAGACTAAGGGCACCTTATAACTTCCTGTACCTGCTATAACTACCAGGAGGTAATAGATAATGAATGACGATTTTTTTTTTTCAATTTTTTTTTGAAACTCTCCTTCAGTTCTTTTGCAGTTATGAAATGGAACCTTTGTGATTACTCAAAATGGACAGAACAAAGCATCCACTTAAATGGCTAGCTTCTTAGTAATTAATGTAATCTTATCTATGACAATATAATGTGCTGCAAACATTACTTGCAGGTGGTTTGGGGACTGTGCCCCAGAACCAAAGACCTCTAAATGTTGATACACTTGATGCAGATATCCTTCTCTAGCAGTGGCATTGTCATGAGTGTCACTGACATGGAGGAGGCACGAATGCATCTGTTTGCATGGTGTATGACTTCTGTCGAACAGAAGAATTTAGTATTGGTCATTTTCAGTTTAGAAGAAAAGAGGAAGGGCAACCTGTAAAGTTACAGCTCCCAAAGTACTTGAGGCTGTTTTTACTCTCTGCACAATTTGATTGAGTGGGTTGAATTTGGGGAAGAATAAAATTTTTTTTGGTATTATGGGATCATCTTGCTAGATAGGCTAAGGTGTCCACCTATGGCTTAGTGTAGACAAAGCTAGTGTATAAATGAGTGGACTTCTAATACTTTGCATCATGGTCTGGAAGGCTCTGTGCTGTATTTGGGATTCCCTTCTGCTGTCAGCATAGCCCATGTGTTTTAAAATACTTTTCAGTCAACATTTCTACCTATGCAGCAAATTACTGAACTTTGTTCCATTTTATGATATGTCGAAGTCCTAAAGGCAATATTGATTTAAACAGACGGTTCTTGGAGACTTGTACTGCTCCAAATACTATAGGCTGACTTTTCAAATCTTGACAGGTTGCTCCTCTCTCTCTCTCTCTCTCTCTCTTTTTTTTTTTTAGAATGCCTGTCAGACTATCCTAAAAAGGCTTGAACCAATCAAAGAGTCTAATCCCAAGGGCTCCTGGGAAGACTGGGTAAGCTGTCTTTATCTGTCACAGGACAAATGGGCTTTGTCAGAGATTGTTTTCATTGGCCAACTCTTCCAGGCCACCTGGAAAGGCCTGAGGAAAGGCAGTGAAGCAGAAACCTGGCAAGGGAGGAAACCAAAGTTTGCAAGGGCTCATCCCCAAAATATCAGTTATGAACTTAATATTGAGATCCCTTCATGTTCTGGGGCCTGCCTATGACAACTAGACCAAGTGAAAAACTTGAGTGATTACCTATCTCCCTGTAGTCAGACTGGAGTCCTGAATAGGAAGAAACCTGATCTGTAATGAAGGGATTCTGTGACAAAGATGGCCCTTTGGTGAGCTGCCATCCACCTTTTGCTGTGGTGCTTCATGGCAGCAGTATCTCTCCACCCTGAATATTAAGAGATTGGTGCACTGTCAGCCTCCCAGGCAGTTTTCAGATCCAAGCTCCTCTCTTCCTGGGAGGAGCTTTGCCTTTGTGGTCTGAAAGTCAGGACAGGATTTCCCCTGGCCATATTGAAGTCAAGGAGATTGGCATTTTAACCTGTGCCTCTGAGGGTGAAAGCCCACCCTGTCCCTGAAATCCAGAACAGACAAGATGTAGGTCTCATCCCTCCGCCCATGGGTGTGCTCTGTCCTTGGTAGCTACTGCTGAGGCTATTTGAGGAAGTAGCTGCACAATGAAGCTGCTGGTGTGGGTACTGTGTTGGCTCTCTGTCGCTGTACACCCTCTGTACATGCTCTCTTGGAAATATGTTTGGGGCAGCTATTTTGCAGGGACTGGTTGGACAATAACTGTTTTAAAACTCTGTTCTCTTTGCCAGATTAAAGCAGCCTACGTCAACTGTGTGAGCCTGTCAGCCACAGGATTTTATAGGTGAGTGAATATTCGTGCTGCAGAGGCACAGTTCTTCAATTGCATGGTATACATCCAGGGAGTTTCTGGGGAGGATTTATGGCCCCCACTCCCTGTCAGTGCTCTAACCTAAGGCCTGCAGCCCTTCTCTCACTGGCTGCATGCTCTCTCCCACCTAGAAATGTTAAGCTAAGGTTAATGCTGTGCCTCTATTCCAAACACTCTCCTGGCAGTGGATGATAGGTTCCTGATGGAGCACGTCTCTTGGGGCGAGATTCAGATCTCATGTAAATCGGAAGTGTATCTAACTTCACTGCACCTGACCTAGGTTTGAGGAGGCATGAGTGAAATCAGAGCTTTGCCTGGGGGTCTGCCCTGTGTCAGACTCATGACTGTGATGATTTTACTGCCTTTTGGGGACTCTAGGGAACAAGGAGGCAGGAGGCGTCCTTGAGGGCAGAGCTACCTACGGCAATTGACTGAAGCTGCATCCTGTCTGCTGCAGCATGAGCAGATCCCAGTGTTTCCAATCTCACTCTCCCACTTTAAACTTTTGCTGGTTCCTGTGCAGTTCTGAAATGAGACACTTCTCCTCTTAGTCAGCTTTATTCCTGGGGGCAAACAGAGATCCGTCACCTCTGAGGCAGAGAGGCTGACATAAAAAACTAAACATAGTGTTGAGAAGAGTCTTTGTTAGGACTAAGATACAATATGAGCTCATTTCTGTTGCATCTCTGAAACGTGTTACTCTCTTAACCAAGTCACTGCCAATATTTTAATAAAACAGCTTTCAAATAAAATGTAAGTAACCAGACACAAAGTTTGAACCGTACTTAAAAGCAGTCCTCACCTTAGTCAATGCAGCTTGATTATTCCTCAGAATTTAATGATCTCTAAGACATGTTCACTTGTACTCTAAAAGCAGAGGGTTTGCTATTGGATTCCTGTGAATGAATCCATAACAGTCATCACAAACCCTGAGATTCATGGGAAAATAAAGATGGCTAAAACAGTTCCTGTCAGTAGGGTTTTGGAGTACAGGGAAGCTTTAGCAGATTCCTATTTATAGTTGTTTATACTTTTCATTTCTGCATGAGCTTGATGGAAGAGATAAAACATAAGTAAATAAGGATTTTGGTAAGTGGCAATGTGGTTGTATTCATCTTGACTGTTCATGAAATTAAATGTGCTTTTTGTTTCTCTTTTTATCAAGAATTCCTGACCTTGGCTACAGCTTCGAAAAGAATGAAGGGAGACCATTCTGCTACTTTAGTTACGGTGTTGCTTGCTCTGAGGTTGAGATAGATTGCCTGACAGGTGACCACAAGGTGAGGGGGTCAGCGGTGAAATAGCCCTATGTGTTTAGGTGAAGGAAATATTCACAGGGAGTTAGAACAAATACTGGGCGTCAGCTTGTTCCTAGCTCTGTCATTGGTTCAGCGTGACCTTCAGTAAATTTCTTAACTCCTCTGTTAGACAGCGCAACAGTCTGCAAAGTATAATAAAATGATAATTATCTGCCTTGCAGGGATATTACAAGGCTTAATGAATGCTTGCAGAAGTTATTGGATTTGCTTAAGTAAAAGATAACAGCACTGTGTTAGCACAAAGGAACAGCAACATTTCAGAATTGAGTTAATCATTAAAAATAGCACTGGGAGACTTTTAGGAAGGAAAAAAAAAGACAATTAGCTGTCTGTATGCATGGTGCATGGTACAGAGCACTGACACGGGTAGTTTGGAACTACTTCTAATACAAAACAGGTCCAGTGAGTCTCTGGGAAAACTGAACTGACTTCCTTTGTTTTATTTTATGGATCAACTCAGTTTAAAAGTCAGGATGAGGAACTGAATTGAGACAGATTGCAGGAATAAAGGCCAGATGTGGGTAGTGCTGGATATATTAGTCTTCCTTGTATAAGGTCACCATGTCCCAGTTTTGATGTTTTTTGCTGATTTGTTCTCTATTTCTGCCTTTTAGAACATTCGCACAGATATTGTTATGGATGTTGGTACCAGTTTGAACCCAGCCATAGACATAGGACAGGTAAGCAAAAGTGTCACTAATTTCACCATGTTAAAGTGATTATACTATTTTCAGGTTTTCTAAATGAACCATTCTCCATCTCCAGCGTGTGCCTTTGCAGACAGCATTTTAAACTTAAATGGACCATCCAGTGAGACATTTTAGGCTTGCTAGTAAAACCAGTTTGACTCCCAGTTGACCATGCAATAGGCGCAGAATTAGGTGAGGAAATACCCTGGGTTCTTTTGCTTTAGTATTGAGAAAGGCTCCAAGGTATTCTTCAGTTACCACCACCCAGATGCTTTTCAGTGTCTACCTCCACTAAGGAATGCACCCAGAGAATACTGATAAAATGGAATAACCTCACCTCAGGGCCTGTTCCTACAATGTGGCATGTGTAAACTAAATCTCACACCTGATTTTTATACTGCTGTCCACCAATATCAAGTCGTATATAATTCAGTGAAAATTCTTGTGTGAATAAAGAGTTAGGGTGGTAGCTTCAGTACCGCAGGTACTGCTACGCTGGGAGCTTGATCAGAAGTTGGACCAGTCACTTAGCTTGCAAATTCCCTGTACAGGGACAAACTTTCTTCCATATTCTGTGCAGTCATAATCACAATGACACCTCTCAGCAAATCAAGGTAATAGGCAAGGGGTTGTTTGAAATACTCAGGGCTGAATCGTTAGACATTTGCACATACTCACCTACCCAATACCATTTAATTCCCCTGGTAACTATGGATGTAGGATTGTGTAGGATTTGGGCTTTACAGGAGGACACGAGGTGCAGAGCTCTGTTACAGTTAAAATGAAAGTTCTCAGAAAGCAAAATGTTTTTCTGAAAAGTACATTTTTTGAAGTGGCCAGGGGAAGAGAGGGTCTTTATGCCTTCCCAATAGGTCACATTTGGGCTGGGAGAAAAGACACGAGCTATACGGAGCCCCTGCAAGAGATCTTGATTTCCTGTGTCCCTCCATGTATTGCTACTGGGGGCAAAAGAAGGAAAGGACGTTATATGACTGCAGCACCACAAGTACATCTTGCCGGGATGATGGACGTTTGTGAGTGTGTTGAATCTTTAGGCTGCTCTGGCCTGATAGATCTGTCTGTGAGCACAGGCAGCAGAACTCCCTCTTAGAGGATGGTATCAGTACATCCCTCTCCATACCCCTCTCACATCTGCTCCCCTTCTCTTTTTTCTCCTAAAACCTTCAGTAGAATAAGTTATACAAGGAAACTTTTGGTATTTGAATAGATACGGGAATGTTTTTGCAGGCATTTGTGTTGGTGACCTGAGAATATGGAAGTGTTCAGGACGGTATGAGGTGGTTTTATGTTGAAATAGAAAAAGTAAAATATTTTGTTTTCAGATGTGTCTTTCTGTCCTTTGAATTATTGGCAAGTACAACTCATTCAGTGTTATTTTAACCACAAAGAAATCAATGTTTTGGCATTGATTTTTATTTCTTGCTTCATCAACAAAATTGCTGTCTTGCATTTACAGCATATCTGTTTATATGTGTGTGTGACTTGCTCCGTCTACCAGGGAAATGTAACCATATCTATGTGGGAACACAGGAATTGCGTAAAGGTGGCAAACCGTACCTTCAGCAGAAGGGACAAGGTTTAGAAATGAAAAGTGGGAATTTAGCCAGGAAGGGAGGGCTGAAAGTTCCACTTTAAATCATCACTGTTTGTTCTTGTGCAGTGATGAGAGAGGAAAAAAAAAAGGGGAATGTAGAGAACGTAACCTTGTTTGGATGTGTTTGTAGATAGAAGGAGCGTTTGTCCAAGGCCTTGGGCTCTTCACCATGGAGGAGTTGCGCTATTCTCCAGAAGGGAACTTGTATACTCGAGGGCCCGGGATGTACAAAATCCCAGCATTTGGAGACATCCCAGCAGAATTCTATGTGTCTCTTCTCCGTGACTGTCCAAACAGCAAGGCGATTTATTCATCCAAGGTATATCCAGAAGATCTGCAGGCCTCTTACTGGTCCGTACTTCTGTGAAGCTGAGTGTGATAAAGTAGTGATGTACATGTCTGAATAATTAACCTTTTTATGCTGGCTTTATTTTGGGGTCAGGATGTTTTTGCATTCCTTACCAGAAACATGAGTAATGTGCCTTATAGTAAGGAAGTACTGAAGTAGCCTGCACATTGCCACCCTGCTTATCCATAAGAGAGAACTGAAATGGCTTTGCTGTGCCAGAGGCTCTGCTCTAACGGAGGCTGCCAGCCTCCCTCTGCAACTCAGTTCCCTTGCTGTCTGCCCCAAAAGCTCTGGTTGCCCTTCCCTGGCATCAGATCCTCCATGTGGCTCAACATTTCCAGCAGTGTTGTTTCTGAGTTGGCTTATTTTGCTTCCCTTGCTGTTTCACAGTGCTCACTTCACCCTTACAAGTCCTTTATTAAGCCACGTGTCCTTCAGCTGTTTTCTCTGCGATCAGTGCTGTTTCCTGTAGCTAGTCAGGGCTGCATGGAATGGAGCTGGATGTACAGCTTCAAGGAATTTGCTTTACTCCTGGTTCAAAGGAGCATTTAGAGAGACCCTCCTACATCATTATCTGTATATGCCTGGCCTGCCTCCACACCTGTTCCCTTTTCCCTCCCTCCACAGAAACATCTTCATCAATGAGGAGAACTATTTGGTTGATTAATGCTGATCACAGAATTAAGTAACGAAGGCCTGGTGGGGACCTTTGTACTGTAGCCTCCATTGATGGAGCACTGTGCTCTGCCCAGGCAACCTCCCTAGTGCCTAATCTGAATTCCCTTTGCTGCAGTTTCAGCCTCATCCAAAGGGCTGTGGGAAAGGGTTAGTCCCTTTTTAATTTGTAACAGCCTTAATGTGTTAGAAAGCTGTATTTTCCTACTGTCTTTCCTTGTTTAAATGGACTGGGGGCTCCTTTAGCCTAGTCTTTCCTTGCTGATCACACCTAGGAGACTGAGAGGTCACAAAGAAGGAATGAGGAATGAGAATAATGGCTGATTGTCACTTCAGACTTGCTTTTCTTTCTGTTAGCCCCATTAGTCCTTCCTCGGCCAGGACTGTTTTGAGCTGTAACCTCACTCTTGCCTGTTCTTTATCTAGGCTGTGGGAGAGCCTCCTCTGTTCCTGTCTGCATCAGTGTTTTATGCCATTAAAGATGCCATCTACTCAGCGAGGAAGGACTCTGGCGTGACTGAAACTTTCAGACTGGATAGCCCTGCCACCCCAGAGAGGATCCGCAATGCTTGTGTGGACATCTTCACCAAAATGGTAATTGCTTCCAGTTTCATAGTCTGCTCCCTGGCCAGCCCACCCCACGTTCAGCGTGTGTGCTGATCGCTGTGGCTCAGGCCTGGGATTAGAGCAGGGTTGGGAGGCTCTGACCTTAGGCAGCTGGGTTTTAGTTCATGTGTGTTGTCCTTTACTTAACATGCCACCAGATGAGAGACAAATCCACAGACCAGCATTGGTAGAGCTCACACTGCAGGAAGGGCTGCCACGCAGTATCACTGAAATCACAGTTCATCGCTTCATTCCCCAAGGAATGTAGAGCTGTCTGTAGAGCAAAAGCACCGACTTGTTGGCCTGATGCTCCTGACCGTCATCTCTTAGGGGATCACAACTCATATCACATCCTGAAGGTCCACCATGTGATTTATTGGCCTCCTCATGGAGGGAGAGAAGGTGTTACTGACGGTTCTCGCTTCTCCTGAACGTTATGACCCTGGGAGTCGTCTTACAAACTGTGGGCTTGATATGAAGGACTGCAGGATTTAACCCTGCCACTGTCTCTTTGCGACCTCCTCCTCTGTCGGGGTGCTGTGACAGGGCTGTGTAGGTGTGGGTCCCTGCACAGTCCTGTTGATTACTGTGTGACTCAGAAGCCATAGCTGTCTGTCCACAGGTGCGTCTGTCAGGCTTTGGTCGGCTTAAAACCCCCTATAGTTAACTGCAAAACCTAGATATCTTAGTCTTTCTCATTTAACACCTTCCTCACTGTCTGGTGAGAAGGACGCCTAAAAGGTTTTGAGAATTTCCCTGAACTGTTGATCATCTGACCTTGAGCTAGAGCCAGGTACAGGCTGCTCACAGAATTGCCATGAGACAAACACCTCTGTATTTGGAAAGGCTGGGATATGAGCTGAGATCTTCAATGGTACAAAGTCACCTACCTTAAAGGGAGCACAGTAGGGCATACTGAACTCAGGACGGGACCTCCGTGTGTTGCTGCTGCTATTTGCTCTAATTTTTTTTCCTCTTCTTTACAGTGTCCATCTGCTGAGCCAGGAACCTTTAAGCCATGGTCTGTACGTGTGTAAAAGTGAAGTTTGAGGAGTAAACTTTCCTCATGAAACGGGGCTTGCACCAGAGGGACCACAAGACAGTAGGACTATAGTGGGAAAAAAAAAAAAAATCTGTGTTCCTGTGGCTCATCCACCGATTCATAGAGTGTTCTCATTTAATTGTCCGATCACTGTTTCCTCTGGGAGGAGGGTTTGCTGCCAGATTATAGCTGTGATGTAAATTTAAATGAAGAGTAAGTGGATGATGATGTTATCCAGGTGTAATTGAAAATCTTAAGATTTCCAAATTGCTGCAAGGGTAGGAGACAAGCTTATTATTGGCCATCTTGAAAAGGTGTTTTTTGTTTGGTTTTGTTTTGTTTACTGTGGGGAAAAGAATGGTCACCTTCTGATGTTATGTCAAGAAGGTCCTAAATGCATTGAACCCAGATAAACAGTCCTCTAGTGGGGAACGGGGAGGGCGTGAGACATACTGAGGGCTGGACTCCATTGTGTCCCTTCTGCACACAAAGCCAGATATACACTAGAGGAAGACGAGGAGGAGTTTTGATGCTAGCTAACTGCGGTAAAGGTCTTCTCTATGTATGTGGGACAGTTGTTCAGATGGAAGCCCTAAAATGTGACCAATAGCTGATTTATCCTAAGTTAAATGACGACTGCTTCATCTATACCAGGGCTTTAATGAATTTTTAGTTCACATACTACCTTGCCGTCTCTGATTAAAGACAAAAACTAGAGATAACAGGAGGATTTCCAGCAAGATGCTGATTTGTTTGACACATTCAACTTTCCCCCTCCACATCCCACGTCTTTTGCCCATCTCTTAAATAGGACATGATATCAAAGAAAGGATCTTTGAGTAGGAGAGAAAGTTATTGATCAGTGCCCCCAAGGCAATTTAGACCAGACCTGGGGACAGGTGGGGATTAGTTGGGTCTGAGTGCCCTCTAGGGTCAGTCCCTTGCCTGCTGTGCCAGGGCTTTGCCCTCCTTTCAAGACAACTCTTAGTTTTTCTGAATATCAGGGGATGGGTGCATTTTGCTGAAGGGTTAGCTTGTCTGAAAAATGTGCTTATTGTGTGATGACGTCATGCCTTTTGGACTGAATGTGTTTTTCATGTTGGATTTAATGCTGGGCATCCCTGAAAAGAAAAGAACTGAAAAGTTCTTGTCACTGTCGAATTTAACACTGCAGCATCATGTTATCTCTAGATGATGTCAGCCATGTACTGTACCTGCTCATCACGTGCAAACTTTTATCCATTTCTGTGGCCCACAGCTCTGTGATAATGTCCTTTTTCTGTCTTTGCACTCCTAGGGCCATCAAAAATATGGTGCAAGAGGATGTGACTCCATTGCCTTAAATAAAATTTTGCTCACTTACATCCTGCTTGAAATTGATCTCTGTCTTAGGACTTAACAACGCATGCACAATCTGAAACATTTTTGAAGCGCTCCAAGGCATAAAATTGTGAAAAGTGTAGATTTGTGTCTCAGCTTAAAATATTACAGTTTTACCATCTGGAAAAAGGGCATTTGTATATGTGAGTTGCAGAAAGTATTTTGTGCCTGCTGTGCTGCTATGTGATTGTTTTACTGATTGAAATATTATATTGGTGTTTCTTAAACTCTGAGGTACTGGGCAAGAACAGTTTTTTTTTTTTCTTCTGAAAGCTGGTAATATATAAAGAACCTCTCTGAGAAGAAAATGTAAACATTTGTGTGCACAGCCATTGGAGTCTGTGTATTTATCTTCTTTGATGCCCAGGAAAGGATGCAAAATACGAGATCTGTGATGTAGGGTTGTAACTGCATTGCCTCTATGGCATTCCACCTCTTGTGATCCCTGGACAGCATTCAAACCAGGCAGAAAAGAAATACAAAGGAAATGTAATATGTGTTAATGCAGAACATGGTGAATTACAGGCAATGTGTGTGATATTGATGAGGTTCCAGCGCCATCTTATAGGAAAGCTGCAGCCCTCACAAGAGTCCTGTTTCCAGAGAAGGTCTCAGGATATTATGGGCTATCACTAGCAGGATGGATAATTGCAGTTTATGTCCTGTGACTCTGGGAGCACCTTCTTTCATCATTTCAGAATGGGTTTGATATCTCATGTAGCCATGGCTACTGCCTGGCAGTTAAATTTTTTTTGAGGTAGATTTATCAAGTCTCTCTTTTGTTTTTCACTTTGTGGGTTAATCCAACGTGTGTTTGCCAAGCTACGTGTATATGCAATGGTCAGAGCTGGCTTGTTTGGTGGTTTACAGACCTGAGCCTGTGAAGCCACTCCTGCTGTAGTATTTGCGATCCACTGTTTCACAGCTCTCAGCCCTTGCTCTCAGGCCCACCCTGGTTCAGGGCTCTCTTATTACCCTTCCACAGTCCCTGGCTATCGGAAGGACAAAACATCCTTTTTGAGGGTATTGGATTTGAAATAGATGATAACAAACACATGAGGGGAGGCAGGGAGAGGGTATAAATTCAAGGTTGCAAAGTAATCTGGAGAAAGTGCTTTTGGGGGTGTAGGAGAAGGGAAGTTCGGGGACTCATAGCAATCTACAGAGAGATGTGATGTAATACCCAGCCAGGGTGTAGGTGGGACAAGACCCTAAAGAACATGAAGTTGAGATTTTATTTTACCTCTCTAACACTGTCTTAACATTTCATACGTTACGTTCTGATGGAACTAAGTGCCACATCCTCTAGAGAAGGAAGGGACCAGTTGTAAAGGACTGTGAGGAAGAGATGGTGCTGCCATAGGATATTCCAGTTTAAAATGTGGTCTGCACTTCAAAACTGTCTGAGAAGAACTCTGCTGTTGTGAATGCACAGTACTGTCTTCTGCTAGATGTTGTGTCAGACCTGTTCTTGCATGTGCTGCTGCACCAGATTTCAGCTTGCCGTTGCTGAAGGGAAAGCTCCATATGAAGATAAGCTGTTCTTTTCCTAGTACTTTTCAATGAAGTATAATACGAATGCATGACTCTACTGTTATGTATAACCTGGAAATTTGCCCGGCTTCTGTCCTTCCAATACTATGTCCTCAGAAGAGGAAGTATGCCATCTTGCTAGACTGTAAAGTCTTATGCTCAATAATGGCACTTAAGCAATGATTGCTGTAGCTTGATAGTTTGTGGGAAGGTGAAAGGAGATCATTCGATCTCGTGTCTTAACACTATTAATTGCAGGCCCCTCTGTGAGACAGGGAGGCCAATTTTTAGTAATTGTTTTAGGCCAATTCAAATTGGTAGTTTTCGCTATCAGTCTTTAATGAGCATTGTTGTCAAATCACTGTCTTTGTCAGATGAATGTATCTGGAATTCTCTGTGAATGTCACATCATTGCAAAATAAAGCTAAAAAATGTTCTGGAAACTAGTATGCTACCGTTAAAATCTCTCACAATTTAAAAGCTGGAGCGCTTCAGCTCATCCTTGGCACTTGGCAAGGACAGACCCTTCCAGGTGCTGTGATACAGGTCATTTCTGTGGCCGAGGCTGGGAGAGGGGGGAAGTTTCTCCAGGTTACCCAGCAGGATGCAGCAGGCGAGTCTCCCGGAGAGCGCAGGTCTCTGTCTGGGCCATGCAGGCAGTCAAGTCCAAAAGAAAGCAGAGTCCTTGGGACTTCTCTTTCATGAGGAGCTCACAGTAGCTATCCCACATTTTCCACAGCAACACAGTAATACATACTCAGCCACCTCCACTGAGTCTGTCAGCTGCTGAGACTGGGTGGAAGGCACTGTGGCATATTGGCAAAGGGAAGACCATCAGCACCCAAGCAGGCTGTCTGTGTGGGATGGGTGGGCGTAGCTGACCTAGGTAGGTGGTGCTGAGCTCAGGTATTAGCATCAGCCCAACAGCAGCCTCAAAGGTTCCTATGAGGGCTCTCCCGGCCTCCCAGCATTCTTGGGGATTTCCCCAGGGGCAGGACTATGAGGCACTCTGGTTCAGAGGCCTTCTCTGTTGTTAGACCCAGAGCCAGCTACTTCAGGACAGTGTGCCCACATAGCAGCAACTGCTTGCAGCACACTTGTGGTACTACTCCATCATCTTCAGCAAGTGAGCCAAAACGGCAGCTGCACATTGCTAACCTGCTGGTAGTGAGTACTGGTGAAAGCTAGGCTTGGCCAATTTAGGTCAGACCTAAAGGGGAACCCGGTGTTACTCAGAACCTGTGACTGGAGCAAGCATTGTTGCACCTCTCTGGAGTGGGAAGAACGCTGCTCTCTTGAGGGTGCAGGAGATGTGGGGTCCTTAAATAGGAAACAGTCCACACAGAAAATGTATAACCAAATAATGGGCCAGGCTTGGCCTTCATGGAGCATGAAAGGAATGGGAACACCACCAGCATTTCCCTAAGAGGGTCTCCCATCCTGTATCATTTCTTATGCATTTGTATATAGTAGACAGACAACAGGTGACATGCTCCTTTGGGAGCACTTCTGTGTGTTTATGCAGGTTTGTCACCCAGAAGCCACTGCCAAACCTCTTAGCTAAAAGGAAGAAGGAGTCCAGAAAATGAAATGGGAGTGCCTTCAGAGCACGTGAGGATGGTGCTGTGATCTGCAGTAAGTCCAAGCCAACCCACCCCAAAATGCTGTAAAAAGCTCTCTAAAATCTATTCAGCCCATCACAGTTCCTCTCACGCTGTTTTCTAGGCCCCAGCGCCACCCCTATGCCATGTATTTCTCTAGAGCCTCTTCCTGCAGTATTTTAGCACAAATCAGCAATGTAAAGAGCCTTGATATCCTCTCTCTGGCAGTGGTCTGTCTCAGTTCCCTGCCTTGTCTTTGGGAGCTGGGGGGAAGTTCCCAGCACCTGGCCATGGAGTCAGGGTCTGTCCCTGACCCAGCTGATACTCTGAAGCATTGCATTTGAACTGATGCTCCGTGAAGCTGTCCTGCCAGCCAGAGTATTTCTACCAGGTCTCTGGTGTGCTGAGGAGGTCTGATAGCAAGCTATTAGAAAACTGGAAAGCAGAAAGGTCCCAGCGATAGAAATGAGACAGTTGTTTCTTCTGTTTGAGGGATAGTTCGCTGAATAGTTGCTCTGATAACCACTTATAGGTCCACCGCACCTGGGTGTCTGTGAATTCAGGGAGGTGGATGTCCTTTGGCAACCCGGCCCGATGCAGCAGATGACCCAGCTCCTGCCTGAGGAAGCCAAACATAATCACGTAGTCGTAGCGGATGAGACAAGGGTGGCACAGGCTGACAAGCGGCTTTGATTCCAGGCTGGCGTTGTACTGTCCCACGTCTAAAACATCCTGAACAAAACTGCTGAAGGAAGGACTGCTGCCCATGCCTTGCATGTAAGATGAGATCAGCCTCTGGAAAGGGTCCCTGACAAACAGCACTTTGGTGTAGGAGCCCATCATGGCCTCTATCATGGTCTGGTTGAACTTGTTCAGCTGCGTCTGCAGATCGTGCTGCTGAGGGTAGGGAAGTGGCACTGGGACCGTCACATTTTCTTTCTCTTCTAGTTTCTCCAGAAGCCACTGCCATCCCTCTATCCCTATTGCTGGCACTTGGCAATAGAGGAAGTTCAGCTTGGTGCTGACCCTCACCCTGGAGAGCACGCGGGCTCGCTCCTCGTGGCTTGCTGGCAACACGGCCACTTTGGCTGAGCGGCTGCAGAAAGCTCTCAGCCTCTTCTTCCGGAGCTGCTGGACGTGAAGGAAGGTGTCCAGCGTCAGAGAGGGGTCACCCTCTGCCCTGGGAGCCAGGTCATCTGGAAAACATCATTTGATCATGGGAGGTGAAGAAAGCCCAGAGCAGATCTCTGCCCTTGAGCCTGCAGTACCGTCTGGGACAGCTTGTACTATGGATCCAGTTCTCCACTAAATTTTAATTTTTATTCTTAAATCCTTTCTTTCCCCTGCCTGTGACTCTTTCAGCTGAGCTTAATTGAAGTGAGTTTGCCAAGCAGCAAATATAGTCAGAAATATTCTGAGAGGCGTATGAGTGATAAATTGCTTTGTAAATACAAATACACGATCCCCATGAAAGTTTTTGGAACTGGAAATTGTCATCAGAACACATCATATGATCAGCCACTATCAAAGACATGCTAAACCAGGAGATTATTCTTAAAGGCCACTGGTGTTTGAGGAAACCAAATGACATAAGTTCTTGCATCACTTAGTTACTAAGTAAACTTTTTTCTCATGAAGATAAAAAGCAAATAAGATGGAAAAAGCAAATAAAGGCTAGAAGACAAAAAAGCACATGTAAAAAGCAAAAGCAAATAAAAAGGATCTATGATAGTTACTTTTAATTTGTCAAATTTCAGCTTGGCTCCTTACTTTTTATCCTCTTATTTTTGATGTGAAGAGGCCATAGTAAGTTTAAAGCTCACATGAATGCAGAGGACAAATGTTTTCCTTGCTATATTATTTGTACGAGTACCTCTTGTCTGCCTCGTCTGCTTAATGCAGGCGTTTGGCAGCCCTGGGGGGCATAGTTAGTTTTATGGGTTCTCCCAGGTACTTGAGAAGTTAAATATTTATTTGTCACTGATTTGGGCAGGCTTTCACATAGGGAAGACAAACACTTTTTCTGATTAGGACCAAAAAAATCCCCCAAATCCCAAGACCAAGAAACGTGGGAAAAACAGTGGTGCCTGAAGCTATTTGAATCTTTCTTTCAATTTGTCCAATCTCTGATTGACAATGTTAGCTAATTCCTGCGCTGGCTTGGCCCTGGATTGACGGGACTGAAGGGAACGCATTTTTGGGGTAAGAGCTGCATTAAGTACCCGTTTCGCTTGCCTGGCCCCTGACTCCTCCCTGGGCTGCAGGGACGATGCCTCCCGGCCCTCGGGCAGCGTTTTGCTCCTCGCAGCGCTGCAGCGCTGGTCTCGAGAGTGACCTCCTGGCGGTGGAGACACGCTTCCCCCACCACACCTGAGATGGTGGATGAGACCCCGCGCCGGGGAGAGCTGCCCACACGGGGCTGCGCAAACAGACGTTTCCGCCATCATTTCGCCTGCAGCGCGGAGGCCGTGCACCGTGCGCCGTGGCGGGCTGCATGGGGCTTGCGCTACCGCGCGGGGGCTCAGCATTACCTGTG